TCATATGTTAATAATCTTATTATTTTCTATATATCTCAATAAACTAGGTAATTTATAGTCGTTTTACTCCCTACAGTACGCGCCTCCTCCATGAAAAATAATAAGTTTAATATGTTTAATCTTCTTTTACTTTAAAAAAACTTTATTAGAAATTGTTTATTTAAGCTTAAATCTACCTTCTTTTGATATATTAAAGACATGTTCAGATATAAATAACATGTTGTACTTTATGTAGTTGTACAAATATATGTATGTGTATGGCAATCTAATGCTAAATATACATTGTTAATTAATATTAGTTAATAGGAGATAGACACCAAGAATTCGAGATTTGTGCAAAAAACAGATACGTTACCATTTTTCCAATTGCTTTCAGAGACTAGATAAAAATACTTAGCATGAATATACACAATTTAGAAATTTATTATCATTCTTTCAACAATATAGCACCAGTATAAATTACAAAATATTATGCATCAATATGCATTTTTAAAAAAAATCCACGTCGAACTGAAGCTGATGAAAATGTTACTTATTAATCAGACTTGTTTATTCCAAATACATGATTTACTTATAAAAGCATTTTAGGTCAATAAAAATACTGATGTTCCATACTTATCTATTGACACAATGTTGCTCGGATTTACTTAACAGTATAAATTTATTCCGCTAAGTGGAAACGAATATTAAATCATAGTAACGTATCTGTTTCACCGTTCTACTATGAACAAAATTATGATAATAATTATTATTATAAAGATATCAACATATATTTATTCCAGGAAATAAAACAGTAAATCTTTATATGTTTCTTTCTTGTTTTTCAACATTTTATTTTCTAGAAAACTCAACTTTTCCTTGAATTTCAAATTCCTGATTCACATTTTCAGTTTTCCAATAAAATCGAGATCAATGCATCATTTATCGGCTACATGTTACAAGTTCATATTACTCTTACTCAGGTTTACCTTAAGTGTGGTAACGTATCTGTTCAATATATGAGGGACATGCATTTAAGCTGGTAACTTTTTTCCAAATTCACTGTAGAAAACAATAAAAATCGTTCACTTAGCAGGGGCGTAACTGAGCTATTTTGATATGTACTCCTTAAATAGGGGGGTTCGGGGCATGCTCCCACGAGAAAATTTTTGGAAGAGGAAGTGATATCCTGGTATTTCGTGACTATCTAGAGGCTATATTGAGAACATAGTGCCACCAATGCTTTCCAATGCGTTAGTGTACATATAAAGGGAAGTAACCGCTTCAAAAAAGTGGACTACTTTAGGCATTTGCAATTAACAGCATTAGGCTCTGAAATTTCGCTACCATTATTTGTTTGGTCTGACGACCCAAACAAATAAAAACAGGTGATCTCAGTCAGCGTTTGAGCAATGGCGATGCTTTTAAAACATAACTGCGTTAATAGAATCACTGTGTCGCACTGATGTCACAAACCCACATGTATGAAGTCCACAGATGGAACGCCAATTTGACAAAACTGTAATTTTAATGGACAACAATTTGAATAAATCTAACAAGAGATGGTTATTTAATGTTGGCAGGGACAAAGCATATATCAGGTTATTCATGTGAAAAAAATGGCGAAAAAAAGAAGAAAGATTTATAGCGAGATTTTTTATTTTATTTTAATCTGCGAGTCATTCTAGGTTTGAAGCGACTTTGATCAGCGCTTTAAGAGAATTGATACGGGACAGTGTTTTGATGCCTCTCTCTGTTTGTGTTCACAACTTGTTCTTGTGAATACAATACATGTACATGTCTTACGTACGTCAATCAGGTCATAAAATAAATGCAATTGCAAATGACTACATGTAGGAATATTATTTGCAATATTTGCAATCGTAAAACGTAGTTAGTCTTCAAAACATGTCCCAATTTTCCCTCATAAAATATGCACCGTCATAAATAAATGACAGACTAGCAAGTTATTGCCCTTGTGGGGGCTACATATTTCTTTAACTTGCACTTTACAATATTTTACATTAATTACTATCAAAGTTATATAACGATGGGGTAGTTAAGGACAATTTCAATTGTTATGTATGAAATGCTTTTCTACTTTTTTAATATTACGTTTGAGTACATTTTGCACAACATGGCATTGTAAAGCAATCATAAGACACCGTTTCTAATATACATGTATGACCACATGCATATTCTGGAGCTAGTTCGTTGAATTGATAACCCCGTCGTATGCTACAAATCAATTGAATAATGTTAAAAGTGTTATGAATGACTTAACTGAAAATACAATTTAAAGATTTTTTCACTCATTTGATGTAGGTCTATACTTTTTAACATGTAAGCGAAATTTAAAACATTCCCAGCTTATGTTTCTCCAGAATAATCGTTTTTATTTTGAAAAATGACTTAATATTGAACATTGTTTAAACGTTTTACTCAAATCTAAGAAACACACTAAATATTGATTTCAGAGTACATTTCATTATCTTTTTTGTTTTTCCTATCTATATTTTCCGTTTTAAGTTGACCAGTTTTCAAATTTTATGATTTTTTTAGCTTTAAGACCATACTAGATCTTCTGAAATATCACATTTTTTATATTATCTTATTGGTGATAAGTTTTCAAAGTGCTAAAAACGGAAATAACAGGGAAAATGGAAAGCACTGTTATATAACATGACACTATCATGTACTTTGTATTGATAAGTGTGTAAATTATGAAGCCATTAGTATAAACAGAACATAAGATATATCCAACTCGCCGATTTAGGTCAACCATATCCATTTTCAAAGTGCAAAAAAAGGCAATAATATGGATTAATGGAAGCCATAGATATGTAACTTGCCCACATAATGTACTTGGTATTGATTAGTAAGTGGGTAAATTATGAAGCTATTGGTACATGTAGAATTTCAGATAAATCCGACTTGCAGTTTTATGTTAACCTCATACAGACAGATGGTTGAAGGACGATTCAATTACTATATGCTCAGGGGTATAAAAAAAAAGTATTCAAATTTTAAGAAAATCAAATATTTATTAGCATGTCAAATAAAGGAAACAAACAATGACAAAGATAGTGGCTGAAATAATAGTAATAGATTTGGATGTAGTTCCTCTCAAGTCACACATACTCATTATGTGAAATCATATTGTAGGGTCATAGGTCATAAAACATAGACTTTAGGACCAGGTTTAATATAAATTAAGCTCTCCCATATGCAAAAATCTGTTCAGCTCCGGGAAACCAAATAATCAAATATACTCCAGTCTACAGTTTTTTGTTTTACAACTTGTGACCCTAACTTAATCAAATAACAAACTAAACATAACATCAACATTTGAGCCGCGTCACGACAAAACCAACATAATGCGTTTGCGACCAGCATGGTCTGCGCATCCCCGCAGTCTGATCAGGATCCATGCTGTTCGCTTACCAACCCTATTACAAGTAGCAAAACTGATAGGGAACAGCATAGATCCTGATCAGACTGCGCTGATGCGCAGGCTGGTCTGGATCCATGCTGGTCGCAAACGAATTATGTTGGTTTTGTCGTGACGCGGCTCATTTTTTTTCTTCAAAACATATCACATACTCTGGTTAGACAGAGAAAACACCGAGAAAAACTAGTTACACCCCCAAAAATAATTCTTGTCCTCCATTTATAGACAAATAATAAAAATACTTCAATATCTCTTAAATTTCTTTTCTTTTATAGGCGAAAAACCCGAAACACTTTCCATCACACATAAACAATGTTATTAAGTAAAATCTGAATAGTTCATACCATTAAAAAGAAATGTCTATCTTTCAAATGATATTTGCTTGTTTTGCAGAATCTGTTTAAGTAGTCACTGAATAAACCTTGGTATGGTAAACTTATCTTTTTTTTTTATATTTTCACAGCAGATACACGAAATCATTATTCCCTGTCTAGCAAGCCTATACAATTCAATGTGTATACTTAAATGTGTACATCGTCTTGGACTCACTCTATATTGTTCTTTATATATATTAAATAGCTCACTTACTTCAATATGTTAACAATGAACAAATACATGTTTATTATTCTAGAAAAAAAGTTGTAAGTGGTTTAATAACACTTGTCATTTTTTCCACTTATAAAAACTTAAAATATAACCTAAATGTGACATATGCTAGTCACATGACCACTGCAATTGACTTAATGACCTACTTCATGAACAGATTTTACAATCAATATTTAAAATATACACATCAATATTGTAATTACAAAATAACCAATATGCTGAAGCAGCTGAGCAATTTGAAATTTTGCAATAACTGCCTTATTATATATAGTTTAAAGAAAAGCATTCCATGTTATTTGGAATTCTTGCATTTCAAAATGTCTAGAAGTAATCATATTACACTCAAATAACCTTAAATTGCCAGAACTGTAAGAGACAACTACATTTAAATACTACAAGAATATTCTAAGAAATTTACTGTGATTAAAAATAAATATATAAATTAAATCTACAAAATGTTTGAATTTAAAAACAAGTGCTGATATATTATTATGTTATAGTGTCACAAAAAAAAATCTAACTCTAATTAAAAAAGAATTTTAAAATATGCTAATATCACACGATGATAAGATTCCATCTTAATTTTTCAACAACTTGGAAAATTACATCAATTTAACTCCATGCTATCTAAATTAGCTAAAATATTTGAAATTTCTCTTTACATGTTTATCAAGATAACTTGCAAAATGTGCGAGGAAAATGAATAAATACACAGAATGTTTCAATGTCAAACTTCTAGTGATAAAATTATGTCCAAAGCTTTACAAGTACAAAAGTAATCAGCCCAAAATAGGAAAAAACTAACATAGTAAAATAATGCACTTAAAATGAACATCTAAATCAATTAATTACAATTTATATTAGAATTTAAAGATACTGGTTCACATTTGCGGCAAATATTCATAGCATGTACAAATCAAGTTAAATTAACATAGAACACTTAACATGTATTATAAAATAACAAATTCATTACCTGTATAAGTGAATAAAAGAGAAAAGAGTCATAAAGCTATTGATTATCTAAGGAGTTTTAAAAGCTTCCCAACAGGACTCCTCTACAAAATATACTGTGTATAAATTTAGGCTTGTTTGTTTTGATGTTTTTAAGTCATATAGATACTGTAATGGCCATGGTTACTTTCTAGTTTTACTGGTGGAAGAAGACCCTCATGTGGCACTATGTGCACTATTTCAGGCACAAAGGGGGCATCTGGGTCGAACCACTGACCTTTCTTAAGCTAGCCAGATAGCTTTCTCACACCAGAAAACCCTAAGTCCTTGACAGGATTCGAACCCACAATACACAATAGTATGGGGCATTAATTTTGAAGTGGACAACCTAAACCATTTCGCAATGGAGGCCTCGATAATTGTAGTCTAAACTATTTCATTTCAACTGAACTCACATAACATACAATTTACATGTATATGTAATCTTTCTCAGCTAATCTGTACAAATATTGTGTGAGAAAACCTGGTTCTCACCTCAGGTACACTTAAAACACACACTGACTGCATTAAGAGGTAGACACCTTAAACCATCAATTCCTTTGTGTTTAGTAATTGGATAAACATGGCATCATTGGAAAATGTGTATTCAAATTTGTTTGCATCATAAATTCTGAAAAGTACCACATTATTTACTCGTATCATATGAAATTAAAATATTTTGTCTCAAATGTGAACAATTAACTTAGACTTACTCAGGGTATCATTCTGTAAAAATATGTCACAATCAAGATCATCAAAAGAACACCAACATTTTGCTTACTTGAAAAAACTTTAAATTAAGAAATATAACACCTTAATCATACATTTTCCAAACAATAAATTTTATCACTCCCTCATTTGTTCATCCTATAATACAAGATAAAAATGTATATATGTCTGTGTAACAATTCTTGCAATTACGATCAAAATATTAATCTGTTTTTCTTCCCTTTCAGTCTGATTAACTTATAATACACATCATGAATTACATGAGGCAAACAAAACAACATGAAGATAAAAGCTGCGGGCAGTTATGGGCCAAGAAATATCATACAAGTTCAAAATATCAAATACAAAAATTTCAAATAAATAGCTGCGTAAGAACCAATTGTTATGAGCACATAATTCTAACTTAACAACATAATACAATACACCGTGTAGCAACCTGTTTACAATATATAACAGAAAATTATCTGTGTAATACATAATTCTAGCACCTAAATATATACCTTTTGTGTTTTATGAAGAAATCTTTCGATCAGAGTTCAGAGCATTCACATTGATATTGAGTGTTCAGATTAACTCAAGTGTTCAAACAGAGTGAAATCTAGTAATCTTACAAAAATTTAGTGCTCAGATTATAAGTTTTAACATGTCTGATTGAAATTATTGATATATTTTCCTTTTAATCACCTTCTTACTCTCTCAGGCACATTATTTTATTAAACCAAGATAAGTAAGTCTATAAATAAACCAGAATGTTATGTGTCTATCGTGTTTTTTTATTATCTAATGGCTATGATATAAACAAACAATTCCTCCCTACTATGGCCAGCAGTATACTGGTATAAGAAAACAGATAAATGCAGTATGTTAATATGTAGATATCCTGTATAATAATGTGCAATAAATTAAAACAACATGCACTTAATTCTAGATATAAATGTGCAAAAATGCCAAAACAACAGCTTTTATCTAATTTCTTCTACAAAATGTGATACATTTAGCTCTTTGGTATGTCGTACATGTAATTGGTTTTCTTTGAAGGTGCATGTCTTCTGTTTCAGTTAAACACAAAAATCTCTAAAAAAATTTAAATATGTTTTAATGATTTCTAAGGGATTAGATAACTTTTTTGATCAAATGGCAGAGAAATATATATTTATGAGAGAGAGACTTTCTTTGATCGTTTTGTTGGATTTAAGTTGCGCTGACACTGTTCAAGCCATATGGCAACATTTTGGGTCAACTAATGGCAGAACTGCTCAGGTTTCCCTTTAACCATGAGCAGGCACTTAGACAGAACCATCAACGTTTCATAAGCTACCTGGATAACATCCTCACATCAAAGAATCCAAAGTCACTGGTGGGATTTGAACCCACAACTGTTGGGACAGATTAATAGTTTAAAGATATATAAATAAGACACCATAAAAGTCATATGGCAAAATATTTAATATACTACGGCAAGCAGCCATAGTTGTAAAGTGTAGGTGGGAAGTTATGATCTGAAAAACCTGACCTGGAAATAAACTACAGACTGCTTAACTTTAACATTTTGAAATTGAATTCCCATGAATTTACATAACAATAAACTGGAGGCCAAGATTTAAGATTAAACTTTAGTCAGACATACTTGATACCCAATGCTGTAAATGAATACTATATAATAATGAATATTTTAAAAATGCTTCTTCAAGAAAGAACACAACAAGTCTTTCAAAATGGGTAATTTTCAACTTTGAAAGCTAAACATAAAGCTCATGACTGCTGTTTAGAACTGAATGTAAAGTTTATGAAATTTCTCCCAAAATATACAGATGCACAATTTATACTGTAGATGGTTTTGTGATAGAAGGTCAACATGTTCGTGCAACAACTGTCAAAAGTATTATACTAAAACTCTAACAAATTATAACACAAAGACTTATACATATTTCATGAACAAAAATATAATAATTTTAAATACTGTATCCGAGTATAAGCAGAATACATGAACCAATCTTGATAACGCCAGAAAATAACAGCAATGCCCCTTAAATGAGATGCGTTAAAAAAATCTAAAAAGAAAAATACCCCTCCTACATATTTCCAAATAAAGCCTCTATAACATAATTCCCATGTTCGAAACTACATAAAATTGAACTATAGTATTACTTTATTCTGTTGCAAAAAGAATAAAACTTTTAAGACTAAATATCTTAAGAACAAATTTACAATATATAAATTTGTGTATTCATGAAAGCTGATAATTTATGTCTTTTTAGGCATAACATTCAACACAAATAAATCATAAGACTCACTTATGTGTATGTATGTGCCAATTTAAAACATATATTTCTCGGATATACCTCAACATAGCCCGATGATATACCAATATATGCATTGATTATATACATCAATTTTTATTTTATGTTGTTTTTTTCTTTGTATGGGATACTTCCTATTGTCAGGACCAAAATGAAAAGCATTTAATAAAAACATTTACAATTGTGTTAACAGTGTATTGCAGATGTAAATATTCCACTGATCTTGAGGTACAATTGAACAGAGGTTCTACATGTAATTATTTGACTCTCCTATGATAACATCTTTAACAGTAAAAAATCAAACACACCCAATTAAAACATAGCACCAAACAAGACACTTTATACCAAAACATAATATAGATACAAAGCTAATCACTTGGGCAGTTTTGCAGTTTCTGATTGGATGAATTGCTAAGCCAATGAGGGCATGAGAACAGAAATGCTAAATAGCCATTACAAGTTACTCCCTCGTACAAGTGCAAGCACATGAAGCTGTTTCATTTTCCTCCCACTTGAAAGATTCTCAGGTTTTATCATTCTTGTCAACGCTAGGATAACTACTGGGACGGACAAATTTATCACCAGATGCTCGTCTCTGAAAAATATTAAAGATATTTATGTGTATTACTTTATCTCACAAAGAAGTGAAAACTTAAATTTTATTTACATATTTTCAAGAGCATGAAGCAAATTTTTTTTATTATAAGTGTTTCCCATGGAATATCAGCACCAAATAAAGCTTATTTATATCTGATGAAGTTATCAATGATGTTAAAAAAAATAAAAATCTTACAATGTATTTTTCCTTACTAAAATAAAAGAGAAATAAAATATGAAACAAGTTTTGGGCACATAATTTTATCGTCCTGTATTTTATTAGGGCTGACTCCTCACCCACACATTCAAACATTCAAGGTAAGAGATATCAAGAAAAAGTCAAAAGAAATTGATTAACTGTATTTAAATGAAATGTTGGACTAATATCGGGAGTAAAGAGCAGAAGAAAGAAAGGTCAGCAATCAAAAGTTTTTCATCATGACATAGATCTACATTAAGAGGAAAGTTGTACATATGTATATCACAAGACACTAGAAAATGCAAAATCAAATATGATATGATTAAGTTGCATAATTCATTAGATAAATATCTTCTGATTGTTACCAGTTAACCAGTTTTAACCCTTACAAATGTACCTAAATTCTTTAAATATATTTGTCTTACAATCTGAACAGGGTTGTGCATTATTTCTTGGGAAAATCTCAAAATATCTTCTGACTGAATAACTAACAGTGCAACCCATGCTGTGCCAGTTGATCTTGGTCTGTACTGTAGCATGGGCAGATTCTAAAGCTGCCAGCTGGCTAAGTGTTAGGCTACATACCAGCAGTTAGATACCTAACGAGTTGTCTGAATTCTGTACCAGTACTAATATGTTTTCTCACATGTAACTGTCAACTTCTTCACATACTTATTTTGAAACATTGTTGGAAGAGGAATAGAATTTGAGATAATGGGGTCAAACAAAATTTCATTGTAAACATTTATCTTTATGTTTTGTTTGTTTTATTTGTTTGATTTTACATGGCACTAACACTGTTAGGGTCAGACAGTGACTTTCCAGCTTAATTCGAAGAGCAAGATGTCAAGTGCCCCTCCAAGCATCATTTAGGTGAGGGGCTAATAGACTGAAGTATGTCACCTTAACCACAGATAGCCCATCTTTTATGGGAATTTAATAATACAAGTCTAAGGTTTATTAGCCTAACAATCTCTCACTGAGCTTACATGGTAGGGTAGACAAATAGTAGCTTATGTGAGAGCTAAATAAAAGGACACTGGCTATGGTTAAAGAAATGCATATTTAAAAGAGTAAGAATATGCTATACTGATGCAGGGATCTCATGTTGCAAAGTGTATGCAAATTGTTTACACTTAATATTACCAGTTGTTGATCTAATATTTCTGCAAGAGATGTTCACTGACAACTAGGTACATGTACCTTTTCTGACATCACTTGTTCCAAAACAGGTTATCCAAACTGATTTACCATCAATAATCATAATTAATCAAAGAATTAAAATATTCTTAATAAACATCAATTATTAACATAGTTTTACAACAGTAAGTTGAATTAATGAGTGTCAAGGTAAAAATAAGTAACTGACATTAATGTATCTTTATGTAAGATTGAACAATATTTACCTGCGGTCCAGAATGGGCCATTGGTATGTGTGTGCTGGTATGAACAGGGGGTGATGTACCAAACCCAGGGGGATGAAATGCTGATCTTCCGGTAGATGTTGATTCACCAGTGTTTCTCCTCATGGGGCTTGGTGGACTAAATATTGGGTGCATCCCTCCAGCTGAAACATGAAGACAGGTTTTTTTATGCTTACAAATAAGTAATGAAAAGTTTCTTTTATGTTAACAAGTAAGTAACAAGAGAAAAACAAGAGGGCCATGATAGCCCTGAGGTCGCACACCTGTATATAGGCTTGGGTTTTTTCAAAGAAGATTTAAAATTTTTGCTATACACATATAAAGAAAATCAATGACCCCCGGGGCGGGGCCAATTTTGACCCCAGGTCTTTTATTTGAACAAACTTTGTAGACACTCACTAAAAGATGTTCCATGCTTAATATCTTAACTCTAGCTATTTGGTTTTTTTTATGTTTTTGCTATACACATATAAGGAAAATCAATGACCCCCGGGGCGTTGCCAATTTTGACCCCAGGGCTTTTATTTAAACAAACTTGGTAGACACCTATTAGAACATGTTTGATGCTAAATATCTTAGCCATAGCCCTTTGAGTTCTTTAAAGGAAGATTTTTTAAGTTTTTAATATATGCATATAGGGAAAATCAATGACCCCCAGGGGCGGGGCCAATTTTGACCCCAGGGCTTTTATTTGAACAAACTTGGTAGACACTTATTAGAACATGTTTCATGCTAAATATCTTAGCTCTTACTCTTTTGGTTCTTTAAAAGAAGATTTTTTAAGTTTTTACTATATGCATATAGGGAAAATCAATGACCCCCTGGGGCGGGGCCAATTTTGACCCCAGGCCCCGTGTTCACAAAGAAAAGATTAGCATCAGGATCAAGTGATCCTGATTTTATTTTCATTGTTTTATGTTACTAAAATTAATTATGTTTTGCTACAATTATATAGTAAATATTCAAAATGTAAAAAATTGCTGATTTGCAAAGTAATCAAACTATTTTGGGATAAAATTAACAAATAAAAAACAAATACAAAAATGTCCGGATCAAAATAAGGATCAATTTTAGGATCAGGATCAATATTTGGATCAACTGTAAAATGCCTGTTTCTTGTAAAAAAAACAATAAAGTTATTCTAAAATTTCATTAATTTGCTAGTACACGTCCAGTTTTATCAAAGTAATATTAGATATTTACTCTATGAGGTTTAAAAATGAAGAATATGAGAGTTTTTAAATTTGATCCTGATCTTGATCCTGATCCTTAAATCTTTGTGAACACAGGGCCTGGGCTTTTATTTGAACAAACTTGGTAGACACTTACTAGAAGATGTTTCATGCCAAATATCTAAGCTCTAGCTCTTATGGTTTATTAAAAGAAGATATTTAAAGTTTTTTCTTTCAGTTGCCATGGCAACCAGAGTTCTGCATGGAATTAAATTCTTTGAACAATTTTTAAAGGTGACCACCAAAGGAACATTCCTGTGAAGTTTGGATGAAATTGGCTTAGTGGTTTATGAGGAGATGTCATTTAAAGTAAAAGTTTACGACGGACGACGGACGGACACCGGACGAAAAGCGATCACAAAAGCTCACCCTGTCACTTTGTGACAGGTGAGCTAAAAAGAACAAAATGTACAGGTATGGCATTACATGAACAGGTAGATGAAACTGTAAGAAAAATTTATATTTTTCTAAGAATGATAACCGATACATATGAATTATATATATGATTTAAAAAGGCTATGAGGAACAGCTTTTTCAAGTTTGAAGCAAATCTCTTAATCCTCATGCTACCAGAATATTAATTATTACCTAACAATGTATTTGGCAGGGAAACTACAGGGTATACCTGTCTTGTAGGCAGTGAAAAGGTTATGTAATTTACCAAACTTTATGCAGGAATATGCACATGATTTATATTCACTGAGACCAACACAACATATTATAGTCGAGCTAAAAACAGTCCAATATAAAGCTAACCTGGTGATAATGGTCTGGATGAATTAGGTGAAACATAGGGTATTGGACTGGATACTGTGCGTGGTCTAATGTGACCGCTGGAACCAGCCCCATGACCTGAAGAGCCGCTCCCACCACTGATATCATGTTGTTTTGTCATCTCATTGAAATGCCTACAAAATAATACATGCATATTACAAAATGAGGTCAATTAAATGGTATAATAACTTTATGTTCATTTCATTGATATTGTGTTAAAGGCCCATTATACACCAGAAATGCTTTTATTTCTTAAGTTTTTTATATTTGTTGTCCTGTTATAGGTTCCAAAAAGTTACTCATTAGCCAATTACTTGAACCATCTTGTACAACTAATGCCTTTTGGCAAGTGATAAAGTATTTTATATGAAGTCAAAATACTACTTTTGTTTACATTTTGTAACTTTTAGGACAAATTATTTCACATTGAGCACTACTTTTTTCAGGTAATAAGCATCTAATATACTCTAAATAATTATCTAAACATCATAAAATTCATATTTCCCCTTTATAAAGAAGGAAAAGAATTATTTGTTTCTGAGGCATAATGTGCCTTTAACATGAAGTTGAACTCTCAATATTCTGTTTAAACGGATAACCATATATGATCAAACAAAATGCACTTGTAAAATTTGGTCAGTCTAATATTTCCCATAAAAAATATGGGACATTGTCACTTAAAGTATACTAAACTTCCCTCAAACAAAATGTTGAATTCCACTTACGATATACATATTCTGCATAACGAAATACAATTCAAGTCAGAAAATATTTTCCAGCAATTTACAATGCCTGTACAAGACTTGAGAGGTGATAAATAGTACCTTTCATCATCCATTTCTAGACTAGATTCACTCTCTGACAAATGCCGACACAGACTTTCCCGCCGTTCCATCTCCATCTGTAATTTACGTTGTAGACGAAGGTTCTCTTCTCGAATGTGACGTTCCTCTTGAGCATAGTGTGCCATCTTCTCCTCATCTAATAATACATAATATCTTCGTGATTATTTCATATCTTTGTTATAATTTCATATCTTTGTTATAATTTCATATCTTTGTTATTATTTCATATACAAAACAAAACTTTTTTATTTCTGCATTAATGCATTACAACTTTTGGGTTTATTGAATTGTCACTTTAGTTTTGTTTAATAATATTTTATTGCTATTTGAATACAATTTCAGAATATTATATTCAAGGGTTGAATAACAAGTTCTAGAAACATTAGCAACTTTTCTTCCCTCGTCAGTTTCTATGTTCAGCATTCCTATATGATAATCTCTACTTTCAAGCATAATAAATTTAGTATTGTACAAATACACATAAATTATTTTCTTCAAATCATTCTAGATGTATTTGATAGGAACTCAGTAGGTAAAAAAATTAACTCTAATTGCTATTACGTCAAGTAAAGTAGTTTCATATATTCTTTATACATGTTTGCTTCATAAATCATGTATATTTGCTGATGAATTCCTTGAATTTCTGAGCTAAGTAACATTATAATGTAGGTCTCTGTTAATCAACGTGACCCATTTATCCTTTATATTGTGTGACATCTGTCAATGATGGATGTTATCTATTAATTGTTTCAAATCATATTTTAGAAATTTCCATTGCACATTTTCTCCTTTTTTTGTGTGACAAGAATGTGGACAATATAATTTCTAACATAAGAAGTTCAGAATATTTTTTTTTATGAAGAAACAGCTTGCTTTAATTCCCTAAGAAATGAAAAGGGGGTCTAAAAAGTCTGATGAAAAAATACCAAAGAGTTACAGATACCCTGAAGAAAACAACAATGTATGTGTATTTATGAAGTTCATATACATGTACATATTTGTCAGTCAGTGTAAAAGTTAATGTCTTCAATGAGTAAACTATTGTTGTTTTTTTTATTATTAAATATATTGTATTACACATGTACACTGGATGAAAGTTCAGCTTTGAATCACATCATCCATGTGAAACAGAAATGAAAACAAAAGATATCAATATTTTAACAAAACATAAATCAATAATGTTTAAACATGTTAAATTTTTTTGTAATGAATTAACAGAAAGTGTGTCAACAATAAACAAAGATAATATCAAATTACGTTCAATCTGCGCTGATCTAAGCTGCCTCCTAAGTCTGGTAACCTCTCCTCTCAGGCCCTCTATGTGAGTAGATAGATTCTCCGCAGTATCTCCATTGTTTATTTCACGAGGAGACGGCGGCTCTGTCACTGGCTGTTCCAGTTTCTCTTGTAACAATCTATCAAAAAATAATACTTTTAATGTATTTTTAGATATATCAAAAAATGTATACAGATTTTCACTGAAATCTTCCGCAAACACTAATTGGACTATTCACAAATCTAAGATTTTAAAAATTGGAAGGCTTACTGAAAACTTAACAAAGAAACTTGTAGATAACTACACATCAAGACAGTTGTCTCATCATTTGGATGATTGAAGAGCTATGTTTGAAGTAAATTTTTTGTAAAAGATCATGTATATAACAATACTTTCATTTTTTGTTATAAATGGCTGTTAATCATATTCTTGAAAATGTAACCAAAGTAAGTAAAGAGATAAGACATAAAAATCTGATCCCATTTTCAAGTACACCTTTCAACAATCTTAAAACGCTATAAAAACCTAAAAATCTGTGTACCTTTTTTCAGCCTCTAGCTTATCCATACGTTTCCATAATCTGTTCACAAGTGACTCTTGTTCTTGTTCTAATGCATTCTCTAATTCTATCTTCTCTCTTCTCAACTAAAATATATAGCAAGATTTATTTAAAATTCTATTAGATTAAACATTTCAAATATGTCCAGGGTTTTTTTTTTGGCCGATTTTATAGCTGATAACAGGTTATATTTTCAACCAAAACACCAATAAAATTCCAAATCCCAAGGGTATGGGTCATGTTCCCAAAATACTGAGGAAAAACTCCTGATGTTTAACAATAATATAGGGAATCCCATCAATAAAGCAACACACCTTCTGAGCCATATTTATTTCATGAAAATTTAAATTGAACTGCACACATTTACGTTTTTACAAACTTATAAGTATCAACTTTGAATAAACTCTGTGAGAAGTCTTTTCACCCCTCTTTTTCTTCAGTTTTACCTGCCTCAAGCAGCAGTAACTTATCTGAATTTTCTTTTTGACCATTTAGAATGAGACACCCAATATGCCTCATTATATTACCTGTTCCAGTGTGGTTTGTTTCGACATAGTATCTCTCTCCAGCTTTTCTATCTTCCTCATCAATTTGTTCACTTGATATTCTTGTTCTTTCTCCAATGTTTCCTCAAGCTCTACCTTCTCTTGTCGTAGCTAAAATTATAACATCAACAGATGAAATCATTACTTGGCTGTTGGTTTTTATTGTTTTAAGACATAATGAAAATTTTTGCAGGTAGATAAATACACCTGGATGCCTCTATGTGTATTGTTTATGATTGATTTGGTACTAGATAAAGGCAATGATGTTTAGGGGTGTGGATCGTCGGATAAGTGACGATCCGATCCGAACCAAGATTCAGCATTAACAATTCACAAATCGAACAACAAATCTTTTGTTATCAAGACACCCATAAAAATATGTACATTAGTTATAAAAACATGTTTATTTCAAACAAAAAAAACACTACTAAACATTAAACATAAAATATAAACAAGAATTATGTTTTTATTCTTTGGATGAGTATTTTTGTTTTATTTTTTGAAACCAATTACTTCCTAACTCAGCATCATGGTACATTAACCAGCAAATTGTATTTAGGTAAACTTCATATAATTTATACTCAAATCGTATTTTTCTCGATTTTAAATGTGTGAGAAACAGTGAATGTATAACAAAAATTAGATCGCGATCCACGATCTCTGGGCTAACGAAAATTCAAACTCGATTTTTCACTTGGATTCGTGATTATCCGAGTACTTGGATACTCGCCCCAGCGCTAATGATGTTAGTCAAGCTTGTTGAGTTGTGCTCCTCACAATTAATATTAATTAGAATATGTGATAGTGACCATTTTTTAACATTAACAGATCTATGAGAATCAGTACTTTGTTGCTTTTATTGCTTAGACACAATGAAGGTTTCTGCTAGTAAAGAATTACACCTGGATGGCTTTATGTGTATTGTTTATGATTAAGTTGGTACTAGATAAAGGCAATGATATTAGTCAAGCTTGCTGAGCTGTACTTCTCACAATTAGGTACTCAACTTCCATTAACAACACTAGATATCTAGTGATTCAAAGTCAATCACCATGACTACTCCACCATATAAGCCCCAAGCACATTCCCAAAAAATCAACACAATTTGTAGAAATGGTCTTGGAACCTCAGGACATACATCTAAGAAACTTGCTTATTTTCCTAAACTACGTTCTTGTTAAAACATCTGTTTTATAAATTGGCAAAAACTATGATTTAATTTTTTTTTTCAGTTTTATTCAAACAAAATGATTTCAGGAAATGTGTTAACTTGTACATGTGTATTACTGAAACAATCACTTAAGGCTTATGATAACAATGTATTCTTACTATCACATGATAAAACAATATGATGATACATGTATCTTGAACCTTACAACTAAGTGTTTGTGTCCACTACTTAAAATAATCCAGTTGCTGAATTCAATTTCTTTATTTTTTTCTTCCTTCAAAAAAAAAGAAAGAAAGAAAAAAAAACTTATATTCATGATGCTTCTGTTAATTGCATTTTAATATTTGTGTGATCATATCTTTGGCATTCCAGAAAATGTTCATTAAACAAAGTTTTATTTCATTACAAATTCCTTGCGGGTTATTAATTTCATTGATTTGTAAGTAAATTAGTTTTTTTAATTGTTTGGCAATTTGTCAGAATTAAATCTCAGCTGATATAGATAAATGTGTTTCACAAGATATTGCAGTAATCTACAATGTACATGCAATAGAAATGCTGGAGAAAACCTAAAACCTATACTGGTAGATCTCTTTCAAACATTGAATTTAAATTTGTGGCTCACAAGACCAGTTCATCTAACTTTGGATGTTTTTTTTTAATATAAAATAAGGAATAAAATTTATTTCCACTGATTTTAGATGACAACTAAAACTGCCTATATGATGCCAGTTCAAAAATTTAAAATTATTTTCAAAATTTCATAAAAATATGTATTCATCCATTAGCAATTTCTTTTTCAAAATTCAAATGGGTTTTTTGCTTACTAATTACTAATTGGGAGAGAAAAGAACAGTAACTGAAGTCCCATTTCAGCACAATTATGTCTCATATTGGCTTAAAAGAAATTACCTGTGTTAATTTTCTTGAGAGATCATTGGTGAGGAATTCTTCTTCTTGTTCATAGTTCATAGCAAGGGATTCCTTCTCTTTCTTCAGTAACTGGATTTTCTTCAGCAATGTATTACTGATAAATTCTTCTTCTTGCTCTGCTCTTGCTTGCTGTAAATTGTTGAAAAGTTAAACACTAATCGAGTAGAAGAAATACAATGACTTAAATAATGAGAGCCATGATATTTGATGACAACTATCAAATTTGGAAAACTTGTATGGGCTGTATTATCATTGGTTATCAGTAAACAAAAATCAACTGGTCTATAATGGAAGATCTGTAATACCAGAAATAATCATGTTGGTAGTATTTAGTATCATACATGTACCTGAAAACCAACCATGAAAGAATAATATATTGTGTATGCATGTTGTTATAGTAAAATTAGTATGAGTTAGATATATGACCCAGTATAATATATCACTATAGAGCAGATAATAATATGTTATAGGGCAAAATATTATTATTCATCATTTAAATGTTTATATGTTCATACTGACTCACATTAGAACTCTATCAACATCTTGTGACTGTTTTCCAGAAATATTTTATGATAATGTTAAAAGTAAAATACAGATATCTACATTTTTTTTAAATCTCCAATTTTTTCTCTCCATTTTACCTGTCTAAAGCAGAAGACCTTTAACAATAGCTTCTTTTGGCAAAATAAAAGTTAACATTATGCATATATCTGTTGACAAATGAAATTCCTTTTTTTTCTTCAAAACAACACAAAACTCCCCTACCTAAGCTACTCGTCCGGCACCAGTCCCCTAAAAGGTACTTGCAATTAGGCTTTTGGACAAATTATATACCTGATTATTTAAAACTTGGATTAATTTTAAGGACAACTGACACTATCTTCTAATTTAAAACTTATAGAGCAGACTTCCCGAAATACGTCGGTCCGATGGACATGTTTTGATCAGGTCTGATGATTTTTTATTCCGGATCGGTCCGACTATCCGGCATTTATCCAAGTCGCATATATTCAAAATGGCGTCGCAAAAGGTGCCAAACCAGGGAAAAAATGAAAATCTACGTCAGAGGAGCGCGCAGAACAGCAATAAAAGGATGAAAAGAATAGACCTGAGACAAAATTTAATGAAAAATGGAAGCAGAACCATGAATCATTGGTGTATGACAGGGAGGAGATGAAAATGCGCTGTACGGATTGTGCCGATTTTTACGGCGAAAAAATTAAAAACAAAAAGTGTCTTAGAAATACAAACACAAGTTATTCTTTGATTTTGATCAATTTTATTTGGTCCGACAGATTTCGTTTCGGTCCGACAGATTTTCATGGTTTGTCACACCGAATGTCTTACAGTTTTTTTCAACTTTCGGGAAGTCTGATAGAGGGTATAATAAAACATCAGAGAAACAAGTCCACATATCACCATCTATTGAAAATTCAGTTTATTAAGGATTTAGAATCATGATGAATATTGATGTTTAAAATGTCCTCAAAAGTTTACACAAATGTATTTATGGCCTGAAGACTTTACCTAATTTATTTTCTTTGGTTGAGTTAACTGAGACACTGAATGCGTTTAATGGTAATGGCTTCATGATTAAGCCGATGTTTTATTCACTCTGATTTATAATTTAATAGCGAGCTCGACGAGCTGGCCCAAAGGGCCTGCTCGCAAGGGGAGCTTTACGGTAATGCGAGTACCTGCTAGATGATGGTTTTGAAAACTTTCGTCCGATTTACCGAAGACACATTGCAACTTTTCGAATTACAAGATAATGCTAAAAGCTGATGTACTCTGATATAAAACGGAAGCGTAGACTGGTGTCCTGCGCACTTATATGGGAACCATAATAGAAAGGAGAAACCAGAATAAATGGAAGCAGTGTAAAAAAAAACCGAATGACAATTTTAAAACGGAAAATGTAAAATAAAAATGAACGATTATTTTAAACTATTTTATGGTAAAAGAAAATCGAGCTCGCATTTAGGCTTTGCCTTTTTCATATTAAATTATATTCTTCTATTACATAGTTTTTTGTTGTTGATTTTCTTCTTTTTGATCCAATTATTTCTATTATTTGTATTACTCTAACCTAATATTATTTGTATTACTCTAACCTAATTCTATTTGAAAGAATTTTCAACTCTTAGCGAATTACCAACTATCATATTTTGATTAAAAAAAGTTCTTAAATATTTCAGCTAAATTTTATCAAACACATTAACTGATTAAACGTCTGTTTAGTTCAATAAATATTCACATGTACACTGACTTCTTATTTCACTGTGTTTTAATTACTTATCATGTTAAATATTAAATACAATTAAGTTTTCAAAATAACAGTTCTAAACAGCATAATTGAATTGACTAACTGTAAAGCCAACTGATCAATTGAACTGTACATAAATACATGACTGTGTGAACGAATGCCACTGTAAATATACATGCACAATACACTAAATATAGATATGATTGGGCAATCAGCATGTATACCGTTGCCCATCGTATCATGGTGACTCATCCATGACAGCACGTGTGAAACTCAAGGGTCTTTGTTTACTAAAATTCTGATAAAAGAAACAGTAATTTATACAAAACAAACATATGACAGCTTCTTAAAATAATAGATAAATATGTTTCGTTAACTTATCACTGCAAGAAAATATCAATAACTAAAGACCGATACTTTAAATATATTAAAAATATGCGACTTACGATATTTACGCTCGCCCTCTTCAGTTCTTGTTTCTCCTCCGCGAGTTGCTTGCATTTTAGTTTGAAAGTCTCTAACTCGACTTTCAATACCCTATTTTCCTGCTGCAGGGATTCAACTCGCTTTTTCAACTGCTCAATTTGATAGTTAGCAGAAGTTTTAGGTAAAATACTTCCATCAAGAGAACTAGTGTCGCTCTCCAACTCGCTCGCGCTGTCCGCCATTGTTTACACAAATTGCACGACTTGTTATGCCGAAATATCCGTATTAAATATCTAGTTCATATATCAATCTGTTAGTAAAAATCAGCAATTTCGATCAAAAATTGAAATGTTCTGATAAATTTTAATTAATTATTCAAACAGTAATACGTTGCAATTGGCCTCGCTTTAAATTCGAATATAGGGCTTGAGTTCAAAGTTCACAGTTCAAGGCCACTGACCTGCGGGAAGTCAACAATCGGTCCATATTTTTATAAAATTTCACCATATTCAATTGAAATGGCATCTCAAAGTGACGAACAGTCTGTAAGCTATAATTCAATTTATATGTTTAAGCTTTTAAATGGTGATGACATTCGAAAAATTTGACTATAAATGTTCAAAAAACATGTCCACGTTCAATTCAACAGAAAGAATATCGGATAGAAATATTTCGGATATGCAAAAAAACATTACAAATGATCAGTGTCTGCTCAGCACTAAAACTAACTGGGCACCTTAGTCCAGCATAGGTCAACTTTGGTTGCATTTATATTTTCGGCTTATTTTCATCTAGTCCAACTAATTGTACTGCGCGACGAGATATTGTGCTATTTTCGTGTCTGGGCAATATCTCGCCTTAAAGCGAGATTCTGCCCCAGAACGAAAATATCTCAGAATCAAGCTTTGGCACGTCAATATATTTTGACTAATTTTCATCCAGTTCTGGATTCCAAAACTTTATAAGCCGGTTTTTACATTTTTTTCTTTCCCCTGATGCGGCATTAAAGTTTTGATCAGACCCGTTATGAAACCTAAACAGATTAATACATGTTAGTAAAACCATGTTTAAATTTGCAAATATCCTTTTCCTAATTAATTTTTGTGCATTATCCGATAAAAATTATCATTTCAACATCGTTGTAGTCTCATAGTCATAGTAGCTCCATTTTGCAAAGAAAAAAGTTGACCTTTTTTCATAACCCTCTCGTTGGTGTGTGCATCAGCAATTCGGCATTGGTTAACAATTTCATTAAGGTCCCTTTTCTCAGAAATTGTCTAAGCTTTCACCTCAAACTGTGTATACTTGTCAAAAATAATGTCATGAATTCAAAATGGCAGATAATCCTAAAATTACTTTATTCAAAGTTATGCACCTTTTCAACTTATATTTTTAGCCCTGGTTAACTGTTTTTGTTAAGGTTAACTTTTTCAGAAACTACAAAAGCTTTTCGCTCAAACTTGATATACATGTTCTCTATCAAAATATGATAACATTTCAGAAGGGCAGATAATCTTAAAATTCATTTTTGTGAAGTTATGCCTCATTTTTTACTGATTGTTTTTCTTCTAAGGTCAATTTCTCAAAAACTGTCAAAGTTTATCACTGCAGATTTTGAATACTTGTTATATTTTTTAATTGGAATGCATTTCTACAGGGCAGGTTAAACTTCATTATTTTTTTTTTCAGTTATGCCCCCTTTTTGACTTTGAATTTCAGGGCCTGCTAAGCACATTTACAGAATTAAGCCCCCTTTTCTATGTTTGAATTTATTGAAGTATTCAGCACTGAGAAAAGTGGAAAAACACTGTCTGTAGACAGGTCTTGTTCTCTAAAAGTGACAAAGCAATTTACTATTTATTAGATTTTTTATGCTCCTCGAAGGGTGAGCATATAGTCCCCGCTTTGTCTGTCCGTCCCTCCATCTGTCTGTCCACCCAGGCTATCTAAGAGAAGTAGGGGGCCATGTAACTGTAAACAGAACAAAAGAGAACAATAAAGTTATTTCCGGAACAATAGAATAAGGGGCCATGGCATATTAAACAAAAGAAAATAACAAAAGAAATGGTCCCTTGGTCCATTTAAGTGGCATGTCCATCGTCCATCCACTATTCTTGTCCGGAACATAACTTTGAAACAACAAGAGGTATCAACATGTAACTTTGTAGGTAGATAGATCTCATTGAGTAGTAGTGCAGTGCAAAAGAACCATAACTTGCCTAAATTTGGAGTTATTGCCCTTTGTTCATTTTTAGACTTTGAACTTTGTCCGGACATAACTCTAAAACTATAAGCGATATCAACATGAAACTTTGTAGGTAGATAGATCTCACTGAGTAGAAGTGCAGTGCAAAAGAACCATAACTCTGTCTTGCCTAATATTGGAGTTATTGCCCTTTGTTTATTTTAACATTTTGAACTTTGTCTGGGACATAACACTAGAACTTTAAGAGATATCAACATGAAACTTTGTAGGTAGATAAATCTCATTAAGTAGAAGTGCAGTGCAAAAGAACCATAACTGTGTTTTGCCTAATTTTGGAGTTATTGCCCTTTGTTCATTTTACACTTTGAACTTTTTTCCGGGACATAACTCTGAAACCATAAGAGGTATCAACATGAAACTTTGTAGGTAGATTGATCTCATTAAAGAGAAGTGCAGCGAAAAAGAACCTATCTTGCTTGATTTTGGAGTTATTGCCCTTTGTTCATTTTTACACTTCGAACTTTGTCTGTGACATAACCCTGACACTACAAGAGGTATACTTTCCTGTGTCCAAAACCTATTCGGGGAGTATCACCCAGTTGAACAGGTTCTTGTTTCCTAAGCTTCCATTATTGAAATAGTTGATTGTGCTGTCTTTTCTTACAGTTGATGTTTGTTTGGTGTATAAAGGTGCATGAATATTAATCCCTATTATTATAGGCCATTAGAGTTAATATTAGTTGTGTCTAGGACATTTAGGGTTACCATGTAAACCTCTTTTCTTCATGGAAAATATGCTTGAGGATCATCAGAGTTGGAAATTTATTTCAGTCTTCACCCAAGTGAAGGACCGTCTTAGCCTTTTTTGTTATTAAAGATTGCGAATAGTCTAAATACAGTGTCCTGTGATAGTTATTGTTTCATTTTCAGTTTATGGATTGGTTTATAAGATACCGAAGTCCATCAGAGATAAGCAAACTTCACCCAGATTATCTGAGAATGGAATTGAGCTGTTTCGTTTGTACAATATTGACATTCATTCATGGTATGTGTGAAACTTAATAAATATTAAACAAGCATATAGGAGCGTCCATGGTAGAAAGATTATGATTGTTGAATTTGAATGACTTATAACAATTGTTTTGAATTCAGTCAAGGATGTTGAACTCTTAGTTTGAGGGCTATACCTAGCTAAGGATTGATGTAATGGCCTATATAATTATGTCCAATATAGTTAGAGATGTAGGCTGTAGCTAGCTAAGGATTGATGTAATGGCCTATAGATGTTATATTCCTGCAGATGGCAAAATACAACAACAACAACAACATTTAATTGCCCTAAATGTTACAACAACATTATAACTATAAACATAAAATAATGTAATCATGGGTGCAAGTTCAGATACAAATAAAAAAGGTTAGCACGGGAAGCATGAGAATGAAATTAAGTTCTGTTTCTATTGCAAAATGCAAAATAAGATATTCGCTTAAACAAATTAATTCTTTATACAGATAGGCACTGATCCTTTTGATGTACCAGTATATGTTTATGGCAGATTTTATCAGAATATTCAGAATTCTTAACAGTTTCTTTCTAAACCATGTGATATTGATATCATATTTGTAAAGGCTGGCTACCTGGGTCTAAGTAGCTTAATAGAAGCTCTGTCACTGCATGTGCAACGCTGGGCCTTTAGTAAAGTAAATGTTAAGAAATGTGATGCATTATTTTATTGTTTCATAGACACACTGTAAATATATGCGGTATTTTAGTCGTTGGGATTAATAAATTAAGTCATTTGAGAAGAGTTGTATCATCTGATGGCACTGGTATCTACAGCATATATTCAATAAGTCACTCATTAAAATTAATTGAGACATATAAATAAATCATTATCATTTTGAAGGCAGAAAGGTGAAGGCTACAAAGAAATCAAGAAATCAAATTGTCAGTCATGAAATACATAGCATGATTAAATTATCATATAAAATTCAGAGAAAGTTCTTCAGAATAATGTCTTCTCAAATAGCTATCACAATTCACATGTATGTTGCACTTAAAAAGACTCAGTGATCTAAATGTTTATTATGAAAAATTACTGATATCCTAACTGTAGTGCAATAAAGGGTTTACTGCTATTGAATTATATAAGAAGGTAACCAGTTTACTGCTCTAACATGACAATACATGCCTCAAATTAGTTTTTTTAGTCTCACAAAGTGACAGGGTGAGCTTTTGTGATCGCTTTTCGTCCGGCGTCCGGCGTCCGTCCGTCGCCCGTAAACTTTTACTTTAAATGACATCTCCTCATAAACCACTAAGCCAATTTCATCCAAACTTCACAGGAATGTTCCTTTGGTGGTCACCTTTAAAAATTGTTCAAAGAATTTTATTTCCATGCAGAACTCTGGTTTGCCATGGCAACCAAAAGAAAAAACTTAAAATATCTTCTTCTAAAAAACCCAAAGAGCTAGAGCTTAGATTTTTTGGCATGAAAACATCTTCTGTGAGTGTCTACCAAGTTTGTTCAAATAAAAGCCCTTGGTCAAAATTGGCCCTGCCCCAGGGGGTCATTGATTTTCCCTATATGCATATAGTAAAAACTTAAAAATCTTCTTTTAAAGAACCCAAAGAGCTAGAGCTTAGATATTTAGCATGAAACATCTTCTAATGGGTGTCTAGCAAGTTTGTTCAAATAAAAGCCCTAGGGTCAAAATTGGCCCCGCCCCAGGGGGTCATTGATTTTCCCTATATGCATATAGTAAAAACTTAAAAAATCTTTTAAAGAACCCAAAGAGCTATAGCTAAGATATTTAGCATGAAACATCTTCTAATGGGTGTCTACCAAGTTTGTTCAAATAAAAGCCCTGGGGTCAAAATTGGCCCCGCCCCAGGGGGTCATTGATTTTCCCTATATGCATATAGTAAAAACTTAAAAATTCCTCTTTTAAAGAACCAAAAGAGCTAGAGCTAAGATATTTAGCATGAAACATCTTCTAATGGATGTCTAGCAAGTTTGTTCAAATAAAAGCCCTGGGGTCAAAATTGGTTTTCCCTATATACATATTAGTAAAAACTTAAAAAATCCTCTTTTAAAGAACCCAAAGAGCTAGAGCTAAGATATTCAGCATGAAACATCTTCTAATGGGTGTCTACCAAGTTTGTTCAAATAAAAGCCCTGGGGTCAAAATTGGCCCCGCCCCAGGGGGTCATTGATTTTCCCTATATGCATATAGTAAAAACTTAAAAATTCTTCTTTTAAAGAACCAAAAGAGCTAGAGCTAAGATATTTAGCATGAAACATCTTCTAATGGATGTGTACCAAGTTTGTTCAAATAAAAGCCCTGGGGTCAAAATTGGCCCTGTCCCGGAGGTCATTCATTTTCCCTATATGTGTAAAACTATAGCAAAAATTGAAAAATCTTCTTTGAAAAAACTCAAATAGCAAGATTTTAGATATTGATCATGAAGCATCTTCTAGTGAGTGTCTTCAAAGTTTGTTCAAATAGAAGCCCTGGAGTCAAAATTGGCCCCGCCCCGGGGGACATTGATTTTCCTTCTACAAGTATAGCAAAAACTTAAAAATCATCTTTTAAAAAACCCGAATAGCTAGAGTTTAGATATTAAGCATGAAACATTTTCTAGTAAGTGTCTACAAATATTGTTCAAATAAAAGCCCTGGGGTCAAAACTGGCCCTGCCCCAGGTGTGTCATTGTTTTTAACTATATGTGTAAAGAAAAAACTTTAAAAAATCTTCTTTTAAAAATCCCAATGAGCTAGACCTTAGATGTTTAGCATGAAACATCTTCTAATGGTTGTCTACAAAGTTTGTTCAAATAAAAGCCCCGGGCTTTAAACTGGCCTTGCTCCGGGGGCCTATGTACAGGTGAGGGACTTCAGGGCCATCATGGCCCTCTTGTTTTCTTCATTTATAATTTCTCAACTTTCTTTTTTTCCAGCTCAACGTATTGGTGGAAGGTTTAAGTTTCTATGGATAGCAGTAATTTTACACGGCCTGTTTGTTGAGGCTGTAAGTTATTGGATGCCTGATATTGACAGCTTTTGGCACGCTCAGGGGATATTCATGTTCATAGGACAACGCTTACCTCTCTATATAATATGTATATGTAAGTATTTCAATTAAGATTGATAAGATACATGATGTATGTTTATTTTTATGTCACTCTGTCAGTGGGTTTTTTCCGCACCTAATTGGAATGGAGCCTTAGCCTTTTCATATTAGGAAGAATTATCGCTAAAAATGCTAATTTGGGATGTTAAAATGTAAGTTCAGATTTTTGGAAAAACTGCATGATTTTAAAGAAAATTTCCATTGGGAAGAGGCCTTTTATAAGCCTCTGTTATATAAAGAGAAAACCACAGTATGTATATGTGCTAAATTGATTATTTATACATGTATAAAACTTTTTGACGATATGCCTTAAAAATTTTGGTCGCCCATCTGTTAGCAATTTTATGTATGCTCTCTTGAGCCAGTTGAACGAAATTGAAACATTTTGGCAGAAAAACTAATCATATTGTGATGATGTGCAGAGTAAAGATTTGATGTTCCTCATGTCAAGGTCACTCTTAGACATCATATAAGAATTTTAAAATGTTTTGTCAGTGTGTCCTTTATTAGCTGATTAATTAAAACTTTTTGGCAGAAATGTGAACAATAATGAGACAATATGCAAAATGCAGGGTTGGGCTTCCTTAAGTAAAAATTAACCCCTTTCCTGATGTCACTTGATTTATATAGACTTGCTTAGGAAAACACATGAAGTGTTTCTGTGTGAAACTACAATGCTTAGATTTTAGATAGTTTGTAGCCTTATGGTCCACTATAAAACTGATACTTATTAATCATTCTCCTTGGGTAAAAAAATGCCAGACTTAAGGGGGGCCTTTTAATTAGAAAAGGAAAACAATTCTGAAGCTACAATGCTCTTTGCTTAGATATTTGGCATGTACATGTACCATTACCTGTTGATCCTTAGTAAAAGTGACATAAATCAAGTCTTTTGCCCAGCTTGTTTATCAAGCATTGATTAGTAGATTGTTGTTAAGGTATGATTTGTAGCCTTGTGATACATTTATCCAACATTAGGGTACATTTTTTCACTATGTTTATATTTTAGATGCGGTATTTATTTATACTGCCAGTGTTGCTGTAGGACACTCAGGAATGAGATGGTGGGCTCAACCATTTGCAGGTATATATTTAGTTGTATTTGTAAATAACTGACATTAAACATACATTTTGAGAGTATAAATCATCCACTAGTTCATGTTCAAGCTTTAATGTTTGACTTTTTTGTGTGTAAAGAATCAGTATAAAACTGCATCCTGAAAGTTCATGTTAAAGTTAAAACAGAACTCTACTACATTGTACTGGTAAATGTAGTTAAGATTTTTGGAAATTCAGCTTCTCAGATGACTTAAGCTTTTGTTAATTTTCAAAAATAACGGAAGTCAAAGGTCAGATTAGAAATTGAATAATATGTGAGTATTTATTGGTAAGCCAGCATGAATCATAGGATTATTATGTAACTACTAGTATTCACTTTTAAGACTATGAACATTTCATGACAGGGCTACTTTGTGACAAATTGGGCATTCTTCAATGTTTCTACTTACAGTTGGTCTGACAGTAGTGATGCTAGACTTACCATATGATATACTGGGGATCAAGAATCTTTTCTGGACATGGCATGATACAGATCCTAACATATATGACAGACATTACTGGGTGCCATGGACTAGCTATTATTTCCATGCAACTTTTGCCTGCAGTTTTACAGCTGTTTTCCATGGAAGTCACAAACTTCTAGCACCTAGCAAAGAAACATACCAATATGCTGGGTAGGTGGGGAAGTAAAATTGAAAGTGAAACAATGCTGTGGCTATAATATTGAAGTTGAATATCATTTTTAACCAGGTTTTCCGAAGGAAAAAACTGGTTATTAGATTGAGGTATGTCGGCGGGCTGGACGGGCGGCGGGCGGGCGAAACAATTTCTTCTGTGCGCAACTCCTCCTACATTTCTCAACGGATTTTGACAAAACTTTCACAGAAGCTTTGTCATCAAGTGCCCTGGCGCATATTGTCGGGGTTTTGCGATTAGATAATATTTGACCTAATTATGGCCCTTTGTTTTTTTTCCTTATATAAAATATATAGTGAACAATTTCTTTTGTGCGCAACTCCTCCTACATTTCTCAACAGATTTTGACCAAACTTTCACAGAAGCTTTGTCATCAAGTGCCCTGACACATATTGCCAGGGTTTTGCAATTGGTATATATTTGACCTAATTATGGCCCTTTGTTTTTTTTCCTTATACAGAATATATAGTGAACAATTTCTTCTGTGCGCAACTCCTACATTTCTCAACGGATTTTGACCAAACTTTCTCAGAAGCTTTGTCATCAAGTGCCCTGACACATATTGCCAGGGTTTTGCAATTGGTATATATTTGACCTAATTATGGCCCTTTGTTTTTTTTCCTTATACAGAATATATAGTGAACAATTTCTTCTGTGCGCAACTCCTACATTTCTCAACGGATTTTGACCAAACTTTCTCAGAAGCTTTGTCATCAAGTGTCCTGACACATATTGCCAGGGTTTTGCAATTGGTATATATTTGACCTAATTATGGCCCTTTGTTTTTTTTCCTTATATAGAATATATTGTGAACAATTTCTTCTGTGCGCAACTCCTCCTACATTTCTCAACGGATTTTGACCAAACTTTTACAGAAGCTTTGTCATCAAGTGCCCTGGCGCATATTGTCGGGGTTTTGCGATTAGATAATATTTGACCGAATTATGGCCCTTTGTTTTTTTTCCTTATATAGAATATATAGTGAACAATTTCTTCTGTGCGCAACTCCTCCTACATTTCTCAACGGATTTTGACCAAACTTTTACAGAAGCTTTGTCATCAAGTGCCCTGGCGCATATTGTCGGGGTTTTGCGATTAGATAATATTTGACCGAATTATGGCCCTTTGTTTTTTTTCCTTATATAAAATATATAGTGAACAATTTCTTTTGTGCGCAACTCCTCCTACATTTCTCAACAGATTTTGACCAAACTTTCACAGAAGCTTTGTCATCAAGTGCCCTGACACATATTGCCAGGGTTTTGCAATTGGTATATATTTGACCTAATTATAGCCCTTTGTTTTTTTTCCTTATACAGAATATATAGTGAACAATTTCTTCTGTGCGCAACTCCTCCTACATTTCTCAACGGATTTTGACCAAACTTTCTCAGAAGCTTTGTCATCAAGTGCCCTGACACATATTGCCAGGGTTTTGCAATTGGTATATATTTGACCTAATTATGGCCCTTTGTTTTTTTTCCTTATATAGAATATATAGTGAACAATTTCTTCTGTGCGCAACTCCTCCTACATTTCTCAATGGATTTTGACCAAACTTTCTTAGAAGCTTTGTTATCAAGTGCCTGGCACTTATTGTCGGGGTTTTGTGATTGGATAATATTTGACCGAATTATGGCCCTTTGTATATTTTTTCCTTATATAGAATATATAGTGAACAATTTCTTCTGTGCACAACTCCTCCTACATTTCTCAACGGATTTTGACCAAACTTTCTTAGAAGCTTTGTTATCAAGTGCCTGGCACATATTGTCGGGGTTTTGTGGTTGGATAATATTTGACCGAATTATGGCCCTTTGTATATTTTTTCCTTATACAGAATATATAGTGAACAATTTCTACAGTGCGCAACTTCAAAAATTAAGCAAAAATAAAGTACTGTTTACCTTTCTAAAACATTTGGGGAAAAAAGGCGAATAGACAAAATAAAATTTCTCAATCATTTTTGTTTGAGGAATATTAAAAAAGCCATAATTCCTCCTAAAAATTCAATTAAAAACAAATACCCCTTCATGACAAAGCTTCTGTGAAATATTTTGCTGAAAACCTGGTTGCATCGCATTGCGATGTTCCTTGTATTTCTCATAGAAAAAGGACAAATAAACCGGGTTTATCTCTCATTTCTCATAGATAAAGAACAAATAAACTGGGTTTATTTCTCATTTCTCATAGATAAAGAACAAATAAACTGGGTTTATCTCTCATTTCTCATAGATAAAGGACAAATAAACTGGGTTTATCTCTCTCATTTCTCATAGATAAAGAACAAAAAAACTGGGTTTATCTCTCTCATTTCTCATAGATAAAGGACAAATAAACCAAGTTTATCTCTCATTTCTCATAGATAAAGAACAAATAAACCAAGTTTATCTCTCATTTCTCATAGATAAAGAACAAATAAACTGGGTTTATTTCTCATTTCTCATAGATAAAGAACAAATAAACCAAGTTTATCTCTCATTTCTCATAGATAAAGAACAAATAAACTGGGTTTATTTCTCATTTCTCATAGATAAAGAACAAAAAAAACGTGTTTATCTCTCATTTCTCATAGATAAAGGACAAATAAACTGGGTTTATCTCTCATTTCTCATAGATAAAGAACAAATAAACCGGGTTTATTTCTCAGCCTGCTGCAACTCAGCCTGTTAAATTATAATGATTTAAAGTGCTTACATGAAGAGGCTTTTCTTCATGTATGAAAAATGTATTTTTATATTGACGCATATTATCAAAATAATGTGAACTAACTGTTTAATTTTATATTAAAGATTTACTTTAATGAGCATGTACAAATTTTCTATGGTCATTGTTTGTTTAATATAGATTCATGCGTGAGACAGTGTGTTGTTTGTTGGCTGCAATGTTTGGGTTCCCACTAGGTGTGATACAGTTTGTGTTTATATACCATCCACTACATGACACATTTGGGATTCATACCGAGGTGTGTGTGATGTTGTTGGTAGTTGTCTATGGTTCTATTATCTGGATGGGAGACAGAAATGTGGACAGAAGTCATGCTCATCATAGTAAACGTAAGTTTATATTGTATATCTAAGGTAAATTATTATAGAACTTGCGTGTTTGTACCTGTGAATTAGACAGTAAGGAAATGAACCTTTTTGTTTTTTGATGGTAAAAAGAAAGTGTTACAGAAAGTTATATATAGTATACATACACAGCAAGTTAGTTATGTACAGTAATATATATACATACAGTAAGTAGTGGTTTACAGTAAGTGATATATACAGTCAGAAATATACAGTGAGTGATTTAAAGTGAGTGGTATACATGTACAGTAGTTATAAACAATAGGGAACGATCTGAGATGAGCATCGTATACGTCACTGATAAGAGACCTGTTCTAAAAATAGCCACATATCGATAACTTTCGGACAAGGAAACTGGTTAATCTACATGTAGATTATACAACATGTAATGGTTACGAATACTTTTATTCACATTTCTCTCAATGGAAATGATGTTCCTGGGGTTAAACTTGCGTAAAGCATGATTGAGATGGTTTAAAACCATCAGGAAAAAAAAGATGATATGGTGAAAAAGAAATAACTTTCGGGGCAATACTTTCCCTGCATGTCAATTTGAGAAAAATGCCGGCGCTTGGCAATTTGTTTTTGTTTCACTGTTTATCAAAATTAGAAATGGTGTTATGATATGGTATGATTTTAAGAAATTGGGACTAAAAATGAAAAAGTATCTTTCTGTCCCAGATATACCGTACAAAATTTTGTTTATATGTAAAATACGCAGATTGGAGAAGTCACCAATCTATCCACCAAAGTGCTAAGAGTATTATAATAATTACTATAATATCTTAAATTAATTCTTTAATAATTTTAGAATACGCAAAACCATGCGTTTTTCCCATATTACCTAATAAAAAATGCCGATTCTAGAAGTTACTGTATCAGAAATAATGTGTACGTACATGCATGCTTGCATGTATATTTAAACTGAATTGACAATTGAGGTCCGTGATTTAACATACACTGTTAACGTATAGACAATAAGATACATTTGTTTTTTTTTATTTTATGTCTCACACAAAATATTTGTTGTTAAAATCATCGCCAATTTAGAATTGCTGGTGCATTTTGTAAACTTCGCCTCATCAATCAAAAGAGTCAAACTTTTTTTCTGCCTGAATGACAGAAACCGTTTTATTGACAAATATAGAGGCCAGAGCAGATTGTGACATATGTTTAAATTTAACTTTTCAAAAGTACAGTGTGTAGTTGTCCCTTTTCTTTTCACACTAAATTCCATTTCCAACTTGTTTGTATTCTACAATTTCTTAAAATATTGCATGTAAACAAAGTAAATATACGCTGATTATCATCATGTGTAGTGTGAACTCCCTAATCCCTTGTCCGAAAGTCAGAACAGGTGATGTAGTGGTGATAAGGTAAAATCTATTTTTAGAACAGTGTTACCTTCAGATCGAAGGCTATTATTGTTAGAGAATAAGTGATACACAGAGTGATAGACATGCACAGTAAGGAGTGATATACAGTTACTGATATAGAGTGATTAATATTCAGATAAATTGAGTGATATACAGTTAGTATTCATCCACAGTAAGTAGTGATAACACAATGTTTGCTATTCATATATAGAGATATACAGTGAATGATATACACTGGGTGATAGACATGTACAGATAGAAGTAATATATACATGTAGTTAGTGATATAGAGTGATTGATATTTATATACAGTAAGTGATAGTGAGTATTTATCCATAGTAAGTAGTTATCGACAGTGATTGCTATTCATATAAAGTTAGAGATATACAGTGAATGATATACAGTAAGAAGTGATATGCAGTAAGTCATGTACAGTGCATGACATATGCTAAGTGATATAAATATACAGATTATTTTATGTGACAAATTATGTTTGATATGGGTTTCTGATTGAGATATCAACTTTGCTCAGTATATGAACCATGTTCTGTTTTAATGCTTCCAGAAAAATTTTAGGAGCATATTCTTTGTCACCCATCAAACACTCTTTCACATATTTATTGACTGATAATAAAGGCATTTGGTTAAAACCTGTACACTTCTATAGGTTTAACGTTGATTGTGGCATGATCACTGGAAATTAAAAATATTTCTTTCTATCACCTCATAGCATCTTGGTTTATTGGGAAATCTTATATGTTTGGTATGCACATCTTGCATGGAGTTCTGCTCCTAAAGGATGAATTGCAGGTGAGAAAATGACTCTTTGTTTTATTTTCGGGAAAGTTTCTAGATAAGTTGTTTTTATATTTTCAGGATGGTTTTTAGATAAGTTGTTCTTATATTTTCAGGATGGTTTTTAGATAAGTTATTGTTGTATTTTCAGGATGGTTTTTAGATGAGATAATGACTGAAGTAATTTTACACTATACATTCTTTATATACCTGGTGTTTACCTCAAAACCAGAAAATAATATAGTGACAGGTCTCCATGAACCTATAGGACCATGCAACGAGACAGAGCCTGTGCAAACACCATTTAAACATGTAAGTATCATATGTTTACCTGAATTGGCATCAGAAGATAATCACTTGCAAATGTTTGCAGTAAAAACTTATGGCAAAATTACAGCTTGGTCATTTTATTTTTTTTTTGTTAAATAAAGATGGAAAGCTAAAAATAAAAATAGGTGTTTATTCCTTCATATGCAAAATTAGAAGGATATATGAATTGTTACGGTTGATTTTTAGGCTTCTTTTTCAATATGTATAATTTATGAAATACCTTGCTTTTACTCATACCTGCAACTTGTGTCATAATTATTCCAAAGACAAGTCTTTAAGTCATTGCTTCATGAAATGTTAACCACTGGACAGTGAACACTTGGTGTGATAAAAGTCACAACCAGGAATCTAACCTTGATCCAGAGACCGATCATTGTCTCTATCCATTTTGTGTAATATTATATGAAGAAAGTCTTGAGTACATTCAGTAACAGAATTACAAATCAAATTTGTCAATGCCTGTGTTAATTTCATATTAGTCATTCTGCCTAAGAATTTTTTGTTTCTTACCAACTGATTTATGTGACTAATGGTATATTTGTTTTTTTAGAGTTGGTAGGTCTGTTTTATTATGAATATTTATTTTATCATTTACATGGCACATAAACGTGAATATATATATTTTTTCAGGTACTTTCTAAAAGAAAATATCTGTGCCTTAATGATTATGATGAGAAGGTTTACGATTTCCACTGTGTAAACGAACTGCCTGAACATGGGTCACGCTGGTACACAATCTGTGGAACGCCTTACGAAAATCACATGGAATACATCGTTATCGTCTGTGGCGTCTGCTTCCTTGGACTAGTCTGGTGTTTCAACCTGCTCCTCTCCGGTCCCCTGGCCGGCAAACCTCACACCAAGCAGCATCATATCATTCGTGACAAACAAGAGTGATGAAATAGCTACGAGAAACCAAAAAATAAATAGATGATCATCAACAAAGTGCTGAAACTAAATGAGAGAACATTTTTGCTGTTTTGCTATTGAAGCTCAATTTTAATTGTTGTGCTTGCATAATATATAGGGATGGGAAATAAAGTGCTATATTTATTAGTTTTTATTCATCTGTCTACATAAAAAAATGGTGCAGTGGACCAATTACAGTGATAATTGATCTTACAATTGATTCAATTTGATCTATACCAAATTTTTTGGACATTATCTTGTTAGGGACATTTAATAATTGTATATACAGTCTCTGATCTTGGGCATTGAAAAATAAAAAAAATCTACATTTTTGTGTCGCCTCTACGGAGTAGTGGCGACATATAGGGATCACTTCTCCGTCGTCTGTCTGTCCGTCTGTCTGTCTGTCTGTCTGTCCGTCCGTCCGTCACAAAACTTGTCCGGACTACCCCTCATAAACTACTGGTGCAATTTCATCCAAACTTTACAGGAATGATCAGTATCAAGTCTAGTTGTGCATATTGTCAGCATTTTCCGGTTCAATGATTTTTGTCAGAGTTATGGCCCTTTAATAATTTTTAATTTTAAAGTTTGTCCGGACTACTTCTCTTATACCACTAATGCAATTTCAATGAAACTTTACAGGATTGATCTGTAGCTCAAGTCCTTGCGCATATTGCAAGGGTTTTCCGGTTGAATGATTTTTGGCCGAGTTATGGCCCTTTGATAAAAAAGGTGTTTTTTTCTGTGTGTTGCCAGATACACAATAGCTTGTCCGGACTACTCCTCATAAACTACTGGTGCAATTTCATCCAAACTTTACAGGAATGATCAGTACCAAGTCTAGTTGTGCATATTGTCAGCATTTTCCGGTTCAATGATTTTTGTCAGAGTTATGGCCCTTTAATAATTTTTATTTTTAATGTTTGTCCGGACTAGTTCTCTTATACCACTTATGCAATTTCAATGAAACTTTACAGGATTGATCTGTAGCTCAAGTCCTTGCGCATATTGCACGGGTTTTCCGGTTGAATTATTTTTGGCTGAGTTATGGCCCTTTGATAAAAAGGTGTTTTTTTCTGTGTGTTGCCAGATACGCAAAAGCTTGTCCGGACTACTCCTCATAAGCTACTGGTGCAATTTTATCCAAACTTTACATGATTGATCAGTACCAAGTCTAGTTGTGCACTGTCCGTCTGTCTGTCCGTCTGTCACAAAATTTGTCCCAACATGAAATTGGCCATTATGAGGCGACACATGTGATTACTGATCGCTCTTGTTCCAAGTATAGGTTGTAGGGAACTTGTCTTGAAAACACTATAACAATACAACTATTATGCCAGTTGTCCTGATCAGATGTTGATAATGTTTGTACATGTAATAGTCAACGATCTTTGTACGTTTTACCAGAATTTTTAAACATTCAAGTTTATGATAAAAACTTTTGGTATATATTTGTTGGAAAATAGTCTTGACTATAGAAAGCACAATAAATAAAACATGGTTTATACAAATATCATGATAAACTGTCTCAAAATTATTGTACATGGACATGTATTTTACTAGAATATTTTTATTTCATTCTGACTTCATATTCAAACTCATCATATGTAAACACACTGTACTATATATTATGAAAAAGTTCAGAATAAAACAGAATTGTGAGCCCTAAATATACATACATGTACATTAAATGAAACCAAAGACATTTTTCTAATTTATATATTTTAATATATTTAATAGTGAAATTGAATTTAAACTAGTTATTTAATTAAGCTAAACTTATCTTAATGTGTTATTTAACTTATTTTATAAAAAAAGAAACTAATGTGAATAATAAAATGTCATTATATTAAACTTTGTTTAGATTAGAAATCAGTAAGGATCTAGCTATTTTATATTTTTTTGATTTATATGATTTTGTGATAAATTTTTGTATTCTGGAGTAGTTGTGCTTTTAAAGGTAGGTTGACAAGCTTATTACAAAATAGATGTTAGAAAGATAGTCAGTCTTGTTTGCATTATTTGAAGTGCCTATTTAACATGTGACTTTTTTATTAAGGAAATAATCTCCCCCTTTAACCAACCTTTGATGTATGAAATGGATTTGACCAGTTTTGAATTTAGACCAAAAGGTTATTGTATTTTAAGAATGTACACAGTTTCAGGATATGTTTTAATGCATATTTGTTACCGTAAAAAATATATTGTAAGGGAAGTAACTCGTATTAAATAGAAACAAATATAACTTCTCAATTACTTCCCTTATGTCCTCAGAAAATGTACAGACCAATATAGTGTCGTAAGACAACACTCGCTTGAAAGTTAACATATATAAAGTAAAAATCCCTTTAACTACAGTGAAACTCCCTTCAACTACAGAAAACTTATTGCAACAAGAACAGCAAAAACAACGCCAAACCAATCTGATTAAGTAAATGGTTATGTTGGTGATTTCGCGACTGTTCAAGTAATCAAATTCCTCTAAATAACAGCACGGCTGTTATTAAAGACGTTATTGTCATGATAGAAAAATATAAATTTTATGTACATTGAAATATCAAGTTCAAGGTCATTTTTTGCTGGGTGCTAATAAACTATGAACTTGAATTTAAATTAATGCGCATCTGGGACTTAAAATGACGTCATCGTAAGTCCCAGTGCGCACTGAAGCGTATGTTAAATGAGGGTCCATTCGTCCGTTAAGGTACAAACATTGCTTTCGCTATCAGATCTAGGTCCTGGACATGTCAACAGCCATGCCCATACTGCGAACAGATAAATCGCTGTACAGCAGCCAATTAGAGCGTGCTGTAATATGTGTCAATAATGAAGGTAAAGATAGGATTGATAGGGGATATTTTGCTAGCAAAGGGCTTGCCTTTCAAGCCGTTTAGAGCCCAAAATGGGATCAATCACCCTCGTGCCCTTCCTCCTGGTCGCTGCCTGATTCGTAGAGCCACTTCCCTCGCCTTCTGTCTGAAAATCGGCAGCTGCTCGGCCGTCCAACGTTCTTCAAACCTACTTCCGATGCCCTGTGTCTCTCAACGACGTACCCGCACAAAGGGAAAGAGAGCTAATTTCTTTTTTTACTTTGAACCATTCATAAATGGAAGTGTGGTAAATGTAGTAAGGAATCTGAAATGACAGCGGACACCATGATCATATGGTCACATTGTCCGACTACAAAACCCAAAGGACCCCGGTCCCTCTCATACTTAAATCACTGTCGTTCAATCTGAAGCTGAGTCTTTTTGTGTTAATTTTTTTTAATGGAGTAATTTCTGGATCACTTTTAAATTATGTTATCCACCAAAATATAAAATTATTGACTGTGTTGTTATGGTTAATTTTTATAGCGAGTTTTTCCTTTAGGTTGCCGGTGGCAACATATCACGCAAACCGGGTGACTTACAATTCACCCAGCGAAAAACGAGAATTACAGCGAGGGCTTTGCTGATTGAGCAATTTTGCTGCTCAATAACTATTCAGGAAGAACAGCATTCATTTAAGGCTGAGACAAAAAATGTCCCAGGGTTTCTTCTACTTTTTAAAACTTATTTATTTAAGCTAGTACTTCTTAACATGTCTAATAATTTTCAGTCAATCGCTGACTATACCAGAATCATAAGTGATTTTTTTTTAAGTTATGACAAAGGGGTGTTTAATTGTTAATTTTGCCCTTTTATGACTTTTTCATGAGTACAAATTTCACGGATTTTATATTGGTTGCACGTTTGTGTACTTGATTCTAACTTTACAAATAATGTGAGTAATTGTATAAATAAATACTAAAACAATAAATCCTTAATATTGCTGAAGATTTTTTTTGGTGTTTCACTCGTATACGATTAAAGGAAGATAAAAACATGAGTCATGTAGAATGACGTAAACTAACTACATGTAGTACGAACAAAGACTAACAGGAGTTACTCCCCTTAGTATCGTATCGCACAAAAGGACAAAGTACAGTCAACTTTGTAAAGCGAAGTAAACAACTATGACACACTTAAAAGTTAAAGACGTTTAAATATAAACTGAATAATATTTAGGGAAATTTCGTAATGTTATTAGGGTTTTTTTCATAGCAGTGTATTTTTACATTACATAATAATTGACGACATCGGTTAGATTGACAGAAAAGTACTATAATCTACGAGATAAATATATAGGAAAAGGGAAAAATAGAAGAGCAAGGACAAAGAGAATAGTTACTATATACAAGGGTAAGTTAAACTTTAAAACTTTAAGTATCTCGTTGTTAACATGATTTTGTATGACAGTCAAAATGTCGTATATCCTTTATTAATATAACTAATTAAGTCTATTATTTTAAACTTGATTTTGTACTATTTTGATATGGTGATATAATATGTATTAAGTCAAATATATGTCGTATATATGTGAAAGTGAATGTAAGTCACGTGGACCATGTAATAAATGTCCTTTTTGTAATAAATCGTTTTAGCTAGATAGATAATTAATTGAAGACATTAGCTACATGTATATTGCATTCAGAAAGTTTCAAAAACAATGTATCTTCTCTCTATATATATATACGTACTTGTTTAAGTCTAATTTAAAGAAAATTATGAAACGAGACGGCGTTTAATTACTAAGATAGTATTTGGTATTGGAATGCTAGATATTATCATTTATTTAATTACTTAGATAGTTTATAATTACATAGATGATATTTTATTGTCAGTTACATAAGACAGCTGTTTTGTGCCATTGTCTCTTTCATAACATAATTTAGTATTCTATCTTCGAATTGTTGCTCTTTGTTTATACAGAATTTATTTTAGTTAGATTGTGTAGGAAACTATAAGCTATAGCACACTTTCAAATCCATTCCTTGAACCAACCAGTACTGAGCAATGAGTGTAAAGTTTCTTTCTTAAGGCAACAACGACTTGCCCTTGACGGGGTTTGAACCCATGCGGCTAGCTATTGTTACTCTTAAAGGGCTGCTAAAACTTTGTCGCCAATGTCGGTAGAATTATTTCAGTCAGGTTTTGTTTAAGTTACCGAGTATATGCCAGGCATTTCCTCTTGAACGAAGTCAGTTCTCGGTTGGTCAGTCTAGAAGTCCGCCAGAAGTAACATGCGCGGAATAAGCTGATTTGGCAGGCGGGGGGGGGGGGGGGGGGGGCAAGTGCCCTTAAAGGCAAATAATTATTTCGCTTATATAATTATGTATGAGAAGTTTATGATGTACATGTGAAATGAAAAACAAATATAGTTCAATATTGTGAACAGCTGATAAAACAGTGTATAGATGATGATATCGGTGTATACCAGCCAATGTGTCTATTGTCTGATGTCGAATGAATATACAACAGCTGTACGTGTATATGTTACTATCATTTTCTAACTTTTAAACAGGAAATTGTTTTTAAAACTACTAGTTGACACTCCGTTTTGAATACAAGTGTATGTGACATCTTGAAGGAGCCTTTTGTGTGAGCTTACTTTGGTTTGATCATTACCGGGTTTCTTCTTAAAACTTGAGCTCAATTTTGTTCCTACTTAAGATTCGGTAAAGCTGATGAACTAAAACTTAACGTACATGGGGTAACATGCCACTCAAAAAGAAAGCGATTTTTGTCAGCAGATTTATAAATCTGTTGACGAAATTTGTGTGAATGCATTTTAATGTTATTTAATCCACTTACAATCTATCTCATTGCACTTCATGGTTTTGAGTTTTCACAAAGGAGTATCTGATTTAAGTCTAACAGTTTATGTGGGGGTATATTGTAGTGGAAGGATTGGTACGATAATATACTTTACTAATCTAAACGAGATTATTTATCCGGTACCCCAACGACGTTATATAATCCATTGCTTTGATTTTTGAACCGTTTAAGGACATGAATGGTCCGGGGTCCGTACTCTCAGTGTCTGAAAGAACGGATGGACCCTTATTAACCTAGAACACACTCGAAACAGTTAACTGAAATTCTACGGGTCTTCTAACATTGAGCTACCAATTAAGGGAGTAGACTGCGCGGATGTACAGGCTAACTTGACTGCGCTGTGATCTGAAGTACATTTTCGTCTAATTGTTATTCATTATATACAATACGAAAAGGTTCGTAAATGACATACAAACGACGTGATTTGCATAAAATTAACTTAAAACTAGGCTTCATGTAAACGTTTTGTTCTAAATAGTGTAGCTATGATAAAACTTTATTCTGTTCAGTTAAAAGTGATGATGCTGTTTTAAAACAAAGCAAAGAAAAATATCCAAAGTAGTGAAACTGGCTCAAGTGGAAGATATAAGCTTTTAGACGCACTTTCGCAAACAGTAATAAGCAAATCGAGGTTTACTTTCCTGCTCACTTGATACTGTTACTGAATACAAAAAAAAAACATGTGCATTTTAACCTTTATCCGGACGCATATCTTCTCCCGATTAAGCTTGAATGAAAACTGTACCTATAAACCTAGAAAACCTGTCTTGGTCTTCGTTCCTTGTTCATGTCCATTTTGTTCTGCAGTTGGTTTATTCAATGATGTAACGGTCTACTGGTCAGCAATTTATGTTTTCGACAGTCCAATTACGTCGTGTAATTAACACATAGTTGATAATTGTAAGCACATGTAAGACAACCAATTAAGTGCTGTCAAAAGTATTCTCAGTTTGCCCATGCTAGTAATTAGATGACGGAGATGAACAATAAATGCCTTACTCTGTATATTGATTATTGAGTAAGTATAGTAATTGTTGACTTGACCAGAGGGGTTCTTAACATTCAAAAGGTGTTAAAAGTGTTAAAAGGTTTGGGTTGTCAACATTTAGTCAGAAGGATTTTAGATTTTATACTGTGTACTTTTCAAGTTCTTCAAGTTTACTTTACGATAAGCTTCGGATAATCAAAGTCGACAGGTACATTGCATTTTTTCAGTATTTTATTCGTTTAGTTCAACTTAAGACTTCGTTTCTTAAGAATCTGCTGTAAACTTGTAAGGCCCGAAAGCTAGGTTAGAAATATAAGTCTTCTCGTGTACATATACTTAACATTCTTCATACGCATGCCAGGTAGAAATTTAACTACTTTACAAGTTAGCTGGTACAAGATATTATATTTTAGTCCCAGAATATACGTTTTGCTCTGTTGTTGCTTTTTTTATATATATGATTCTAATTTCTAGTAACTACCCTTGCCGCCGCCGGTCCTTGCTGGACCCGTGTTGTATGCCAGCTGTGGCGTCTTGCTGTCAATCGGTTGTCGTAAAGGCCATTCCTGCGTCTCTAAGATGCGAAGGCTTGTCGGCACGTCCTGATAAAATGCTTACAAGCAGCTCTCTGTATGGCAACACCCTCCTGAATTAATCACAACGGGTTAAACAGACATCACTTGTACTAAGGTTGACTTGTACTTGACTTGCCTCCCCGTGTGCCTTTTTCTCTCGTAAGAGATTGGAGAAAAAACGTATTGTGTGAAGTGTCTATTGTAAATATTGTTTCTGTTCCCTATATAAAGCCTAATTTTGAGATTTATTGTATAAACATCTCACGTTTTAGGTTGATATGCTCATTAACTTGTATGCGTGCTAATCAGTGCTAATTGATAAACCGTATATGGCCCTGATCAGACACCATAGTATTTTCTGATGACAATGATATGTCATATATATTAAACTGATATACTATATAACAATAGCATTTATAGTGTACTAAAGGTTGAAATATTTGATATGATGAACCGTAAATTACAAGCTACGATACACTTCTCTTATGAGACACGGACAATAAATTGATATATGACACTAAAATGTTGTATTGTGATATTGTACGGAAATATTTCATATCCAGTTCATGTTTATATGTTTTGAAAAAAACACAACTTTTTCATTGCTTGTAATTATGTAGGTGTCACGTATAGTTGTAATAGTTATATATTGATGTGTACCAAGTTTCTCCTCGAATCTGTCATTGGCAGTAACTGTTGTATTGGCAATACTTATCATTCCAAAATATCTCTAGAAACACGTTTGTTTACTGCCGACTTAAAAACTAAAAATATATGTGCGATTTCTCGTTTCATGTAATATGGATGTAAAGGATCAAAATATGAATTATAGACAACATACCTATACTATATAATATTATGTCTTCCTTATTTGTTACTTAAAATGTACTGAATGTTATAATTTTTATAATTGCTTGTAATATGTCTATTTTTGTTTAAGGTCTTGTTGAAAATAAGATTTTGCATTATATGTGTTATATTTGATGCTTTGATGTATTGTCTTAAGGTACCTTCGTTAAATATAGAGTTAATTATTATTATCATTTCAAAATAAATCCGCACAAGTAGGGTCACCTCGAGATGGCGTTGTTCTTGTAGAACGGTGATGGTATCCATCAACACCAGGAATGTCAGTCAGCAGGTATCCAGACAGCCTCTCTATCGTTTATTTTCAATGACTTTCGGAAGCACAGACAACTCTCCCGTGTGTGTTTCACCTAAATTAGGTGCTACATAGCACATACTGAATTATTCAATAATTCATGATATTTGCAGTTTACTTTTTTATTTACACATTTTTATCAATTTCAGAACAAGAATGCACGGTTGGGAGAGACTATCAAATCTGTGTGGTATTGGTTGCAAGGTGTTGTGGACGTCATGGGGTAACGAAGACAAGACTTATGATTCTGTGAATAAAGATGACACTGACACAGCTGACCTACACGAACCCGTGACGTCAGAACCAATGAAACCAATCTGGTCAGACATAAATATAACAGCGCCTATTGTCAGAAATAAGTCCGGAAGTGTTGGCAACATTAAGATTGGTTCTAGCGCGGGATACGAAAAGCTTTCTACAGACGGACTTAAACAGAGTGCCAGTCTTGCGAAACTAAATGAAAAACGAAACAGTAAATCGGACGTGACAGTCGGTGCCATGGCTCCAGCATTCAGTAAAACTTTACTTAAAGAAGATAAAAGTTTAAGCAGCAGTAGAGCAAGCCTGGCGGAAGAAACTTTGGAAGTTCACGAGTTAGTGACTACTGTCTGAACTAACTAATCACATAATGGATAATAATTCCTGTGATATAATGGAGCTTTTATCAAATTTATAGACAGGGATTTTTTTCTGGAATTCCTTTATATAGTTCTACATTGACAGTGGTATAACATTACAAAGTGCTAAGTATTAAAAGTTATGGTGCTTGTAACTAATGTTAAGGGAAAAAGTGACTACAATGTAGAATTGAGAAATTGCTCTTCCCTCGTAAACGCGCCGAACCTTAATAAATTATGCATGTTTATTACATTAGCGCATTTATGAATGAGGAACATCATTTATGTCTTTATATAGTTTGACAATATCGACATTTTTATAAGATATTATGTGAACTTAGAACTTGTACATTTTGATTGAAGGAAACTCTGAAAGATAAGACAAATTGTCTAAAATAATGTCATACCAACTGATGGTTAAAAAAATCAAGTTCCTAATGCACCTGGCATTTTTAAAGTAGATGTAATAACGAGAATTCTGGGAGACATTGCAATATTTCCAAGTATGTCACTGATATACTACACTTGTTAAGAATTCTATGCCATGCTCATTAGTAATGCATTTCATTTTATTGTTTATAGTCAAAGGATACTAAGATTAAGTTTTATAATCATTTGTTATTCGACTGGATGGATGGTTCCAAAGCAAGAGTTTGTGACTAGGCTAACAGTTTGGTTATCATACGCGATAACTCCCTTAAATACCTAAATTTATGTTTATAAAGTAACGCAGGAAGCAATAGATTTTTTTCTCGGTATTCACACATATGTACACTTGTACTAATGTTATGTACAAAACAATTAAACATAATGTAGGAATAAGCATGCATTGAAATGTAGTTCGTACGCTCTTATCTCTTGAAATAGCGTCACGTTGGTCACTTGAAATAGCGTCACGTAGGTTAGAAAAAAAACAGACAGGTTCATGCTGATTGAAAAGAACAACGCGTTGAAATGAACAAAGTTCGTGTGCTCATAGTGAATTGAACAAATTCGTCTTGTGACAACGAAATGAACAAATTGAACACATTTTTTTCTTGAACGTCTTCACATATTGAACTAAACAAATTCTTCTTCTTTGTTGAAATGACTGATGGAGGCGTGGAGGCGAACATGTACATGTGTTGTTTACAAGTTTGCTTTGAAAAAACAGGATTGGTCTGCTTGTGTAACTTTTATTTTTGTATGAAATGAAATATATTGTTTCATTTTACTTTGCCAAAATGATATAAAATTCATGTGCAATAAAATGTTTAAATTAGATAGTGTACTGTAAATAATGTATTATATTATATTGTACTAACTTTAGCTAACAGCCAGTATTTGATATTAGTGCAAATGTAAACAAGAAGATACTTGATTAGCTAAACATTATTTTAATCGTTCCAAATTGTTTTAATGTTGTTTTTTTTTATATTTATTTTACTGACTTCAGTTGTCATTCTTAGTGATCAACATCATCTAGAGTCAAAACTCATATTTCATTTATGATATATACACACCTGTTATATTACATTATTTTAATCAGCATTCTTATACTTTCTTGATTTCGTTTCTGGATAAATCTTGTCGTCTCATTTTATATAATGGTTTTATAATTAAGTTGTTGATGATAAAAAATGAACATATTCTTTGCAACAAAAAAGAATCAAGCACAACCTCGAGGAGAATAGCAGACGTGTCACGTTCGGATTTTAGCCTCCAGTCTCTAACTACAAGATGATGTCTGATTGTTAGAGATGTTGCTGAAGATATGTTTTATTGATTTCACCATACGGTCATTTTTGTAATTATATTATAGAACTTATCTGTAAATGACGTGGGCTTAATGTTCTGTAAATATAGACGATCCTCTATTCTCATTTTTTTCTTGCTTTGTCAGTCAAGAATTCAGGAACTTTGTTTGTTTCTGAAGGGTAAATCATTGATGTTTGAAATTGTCAGACGTATATTAGTATTATATAATATTAAGTTATCATTACTGGTTGTAAGGTACTCAATGAGTCATTATAATTTTGATACAGTTATATTAATTTTTATATAATTTGGTATATTGATATCTTCCTAACATAAGATAAAACGCTGTGTTCATAGATAACCTATTTACCTTTCATCTGATGCGATTCATTTGTACGTGAAAACGGACACGATTTTCAAACGAAAAAGAAAATTTGGACCTACTCAGTACAATATTTTTATGAAATGATATAGGAAAATTAGCCCATAATTGTTTGAGTACTTAAATATGGTACGTTAAGTTCACAGAAATAAATATTTAATCCACGTTATGTAAATCATGTAAAATATTGTTGAAATGGTGAGCAGATGTTATGGTAATCGATCGGGAATAAAATTGCTCAGTAAAGTATTATTATATCATATATCAGATGATTCAATAGGCATTATTTATCACTTTTAACATGTTACTCATTCACTGGATACATGAATCATTGTTCTGTAGGATTATTATAGCAGACGACACCCGAGTGTCTACCATAAATACTGTTTACTGTATTTTCTTCTTGAATAATTCAGGATATTATCAAGCTCTTGTCATATATGGTCTCTGTAAGGAATTACTTGTCGAATGAGGTCAAGATGAGGTGTCATCCACTTTTGACACAGTCTTAAACATTTTTTTGATAAAACTCTTTCTTCCACTTTTATTACGAAATTAAACTTTTGTCATTAATAATACTAATCTCTTGTCAATAACATTATTAGAAAATGTTTGTTCTTCAAATAGAGTCAAAAGCAAGTAAACGAGTATATTTACATACCGAGCCCGTTTTCTTTTAACCTTCTTGTCCTTACCGATATTATATACCCCTCTAATATTTATTTTAGAGTTATTGAAGATACAAATCGTTTACCTCCTTAAATGTAAAAACTGATCTTGCATTATATCGATACGTAATCATTACTTTTTTGTTTTCACTTTGTCACGATTGAAGGTGTTCACATTTTGTATTTCAAACTGACACTCAAAATCATAAGATAAGCAGTTTTTCTCTCTCTTTTTTTAAATAAATGCGCTCTATGCCGACACATACTGTCAGTAAAGTAGGAAAATTATCTATGAATCACATTTTAAAATAGTTAACCAATATACGAGCATTTTGCTGTTTTGAACAAACATGTAAGGACTGAGATAATTTGTTTTAGAATTGTGTCATTTTTATGAAAATCATTACTCTAGTGTTTTCGTTTTTCCAGTTGCGAATTTTATACATAACATAGCTTCTTGTGAAGAATTTAATAGCAAACGTGGTAAACTAAATGTTTTCCAGTTTGTAAAAAACATTAAAATATTTTTTTTTTCTTTTTCACTTTTGATGTTTCAGTTTTAAGAAATACTTTTAACGAACAATATTTTATTCAAATTTACAAAAAGTTAGTTTACAGTTCATTTTAGACCAGTAATTTTATCTGCATGTTGTTATACATTTTCCCCCATGTGATTTGTTATAAAACAACTATTGATCATTGTGTATATATATTGAAAACTGTGTTGTTAATAACTGAATAAAATTTATTTTCTAAAATCATGAGTTTGTTATTACATTTCAATGTAAACAGTTGACTTCACGGTCGCTGCTTTATTTTTAAAAGCTGTATACTTTTCGTGAAGACACTGATGGGTCAATTTATGCTTTCAACGCATCACTGTTAAATATTTGTAGCAAATATAATGTGCCTTTAACTGTCATCTTATGAGAAATGCACTAAACGAGTACAGTCATATTCGTGTGACTTTATGAACACTTACTGTCAAGACTCTGGCCTTTTTTAACAATAATGGTCCGTAGGTAAAGATATCCCACAAAGCCATTCATCTGTCTAAACCATGCTAAGGGAATTTTCGGTGTCACTTGCTATAGGGAATGCCTTAGTCGGTTGTTCAGTGTCACTACAGGCTTCAGCTCTTCTTATTTTCAGAATCAGGCAATTAGTTTTCGTTCTAAGATTAGCTGATTCTACTATGAGAGATTTGATATCTACAACAGAACCAGTTCTGAAAACTGTATAATTTGAATCATCAATAAGTTTACAATCACCCCTTTCAGCATCCAGACCATCTGGATCTTGATCAGTATTTTTAACAACATTTTCCCCGTCTATTCGGTATATTATTGCTTTAGGAGTAGTATCCAAGTCTTTGAAGGCGGTTGATTTCTGTATGACTGAACCACGAACTATCAAGATTGCTTCATAATTTACGCTGTCAGTTTCTAACAGCACCGTCATCCCGTCTTCAAATTCCTGAACATCACTAGCAAGAACTGATCTCCAAAGTTGCTGTATTGATGATGTAGCGTAGAGAGAATTCTCTTTAAGATAACTAACCAACATCTCAATGTGAAGATAAGCCTCGTTCTGAATGTAAACATGACCGAGGCGTTTGAACGAATCGCGAAATGAACGTATTTCTTTATTGAATGTTTCCAGTTGTTTTGGAAATGATTCGAGAATGTTCCTTACCAATTCCTTACTCACTTGTATAACCTGACAGTTTGTCAAAGCTTTGATAGTAACAGGCGATGTTTTCCCATCACTTATCAAGGTAATTTCAGTGAAAACAAACGGGTCCTTTTCATTTGTTATAGACCGTGTGTTGATAATTTTGGAACCGTGAACAATTTCGATGTCACCTTTTAATACTATATATACAGCCGTTAATGGGTCATTTTCTAAAATGATAATCGACTTACAAGGATATAATGTTACAATATTCTTGTCAAAGGATAATATTAATTTCTTTATCATTTCCTCCGTCCAGTCATCTAACAAATGTATGTGTTTTAATGTTTGAAGAGCAAGTCGACGATACACTCTTCCACTGTCTACCGAACTTCCGGTGGGCAAGTAACGTCTTTGTATAAACCAATCAATCATATCAAGACTTTCTGTATGCTCTTGGAATATTTCATATGTAGCTTGTTTGGGTAATTTTACGACGGTTACGTCTGATACAGCAACAATATTTGCCGTCACTGGAATATCAAATAGCAATGAAACTTCACCAAAAACTTCACCAGGGGATAGAGTAGACAAAACTTCACTTTTATCAGACGTTAAAACATTCACTTTGCCCGTCAATAATACGAATATTGCATTTCCTGTAGCAGATTTTCTCAAAATCGAATTATTTGAGCAAATTAAAAGTTTTTGACCATATTTAAAAATTATATCGTAGACCTTTGAACATGAATAACCAATTGTCGACAAGAGGAATCTCTGAATGCTCTCTTCTGCAAAACTTAGTTCCTCTTCGAGCAGTTGTAAACCGGCAGTATCTAGGTCGATATCTGATTTTACAGGAAGTTGTACAGAGTCTTTTACAAATTTGTTATCTTGTTCTAACGAGTCCTCGTCACTGTTAAGATCTGTGCTGGTTTCCATTTTATCCTCTTTGTACTCATCTGTATTTGCAGCCTTCGACTTACCGGACAGGTTTCCAGTTATCGCCATTTTTAAAAAATGGTTATCTGCATAATGACGTCATCAACGTCGTTAACCGCGTTCACAAATTCTGCTATACAGTAATATATGTATTATGCCGAGGGGGTAATTTGCAAGTTCGCATCTTTCTCTTTGGCAAGACAGTAAAAAATCGATTTTGTTATTCAGTTGTTAAAATTAGATATATTTTACATAAACTACAAACAGTTTATATCCAAAGGTAGACTATTTAAAAAAATATCTTTTTAAAATGAAAATAACAGGCTACAGTAGAGATACACATGTAGATAAACAGTCCTAGATCTACTTATTTTTTTATACAGAATCAATATTAAAATGAGAAAAATAGGATGAACCCAGCATGTATTTTTGCATGGTATTCAACAATAATAATTTTATGGTAAACATATATTTCTTGGATAGGCCCTACGTATTATTGTATTATATCCAACAGTATCGTATATAGGCCTACATGTTTAAACACTGGTTTTAATTAATTGCAAAATTTAGGCTACAAAAACGCAAAAGAAAGAAACTTACTTTATGAAATAACACAACATTTAGACCAGTTAGAATCAATTTTCTATAACAATTTGCTAGTTTATCCTTATTTGTTATAGATTCTACATTATACTGAACAACTCAGCTTTGTCATGTTGTAATAACTAAAATTAATTCAGCTGTTTTATTTATAAGATCTAAGATAATTTAAATATTTCATATTGTTAAAACTGAGATAATTTGAGCATTTTTACATGGTAAAATCTGCGATTTAAAAAAAAAGAAGAAAAAAGATAAATTCAGCTAATCGAGATAACTTCAGCTTTTTCACATTGTAAATACTGACATAAATTCAGATACTTTATATTGTAAAATACTGAGATAAATTCAACAATTTCATACTGTAAAAATATGACATAGGACAAGCAGGATAACATATATTTCAAGTTTTCTCTAATCAGTAGGTACTTAATTGATGTCAATGCATGAAGGTATATAATGTACTGTACATGTATTTCCATAGATTAGAAGCGTACGCAGTAAATACAAGTAGCCTAAAAATGGTAAAAAAATCCGCTTTTTATGCTCTTTTTCTAAAACGTAACTTCCTACTAGAGGTATGTGAAGTTGGCTTGTACATTGTACATCGTAGTTCAGCTAGTAATTCGCCAATATTTGAATTACTAGCTAGTAGATCGGTATTCAGCGTGTAGTTCGGAACAAATACACCAGCATACACAATATTTGAATTACTAGCTAGTAGATCGGTATTCAGCGTGTAGTTCGGAACAAATACACCAGCATACACAATATTTGAATTACTAGCTAGTAGATCGGTATTCAGCGTGTAGTTCGGACCAGACACACTAACATACATAATATTTGAATTACTAGCTAGTAGATGGGTATTCAGCGTGTAGTTCGGAACAAACCCACTAGCATACATAATATTTGAATTACTAGCTAGTAGATGGGTACTCAGCGTGTAGTTCAGACCAAATACACCGGCATACACAATACTTGAATTACTAGCTAGTAGATCGGTATTTAGCGTGTAGTTCGGACCAAATACACCATCATACACAATATTTGAATTACTAGCTAGTAGATGGGTATTCAGAGTGTAGTTCATACCAAATACACCGGCATACACAATATTTGAATTACTAGCTAGTAGATCGGTATTCAGCGTGTAGTTCGAAACAAACAAACTAACATACATAATATTTGAATTACTAGCTAGTAGTTGGGTTTTCAGCGTGTAGTTCGGACCAAATACACCAGCATACACAATATTTGAATTACTAGCTAGTAGATCGGTATTCAGCGTGTAGTTCGGAACAAATACACCAGCATACACAATATTTGAATTACTAGCTAGTAGATCGGTATTCAGCGTGTAGTTCGGACCAGACACACTAACATACATAATATTTGAATTACTAGATAGTAGATGGGTATTCAGCGTGTAGTTCGGAACAAACCCACTAGCATACATAATATTTGAATTACTAGCTAGTAGATGGGTACTCAGCGTGTAGTTCAGACCAAATACACCGGCATACACAATATTTGAATTACTAGCTAGTAGATCGGTATTTAGCGTGTAGTTCGGACCAATTACACCATCATACACAATATTTAAATTACTAGCTAGTAGATGGGTATTCAGCGTGTAGTTCATACCAAATACACCGGCATACACAATATTTGAATTACTAGCTAGTAGATCGGTATTCAGCGTGTAGTTCAGACCAAATACACCGGCATACACAATATTTGAATTACTAGCTAGTAGATCGGTATTTAGCGTGTAGTTCGGACCAAATACACCATCATACACAATATTTGAATTACTAGCTAGTAGATCGGCATACAGCGTGTAGTTCGGAAAAAATACACTAACATACATAATATTTGAATTACTAGCTAGTAGTTGGGTTTTCAGCGTGTAGTTCGGAACAAACCCACTTACATACATAATATTTGAATTACTAGCTAGTAGTTGGGTATTCAGCGTGTAGTTCGGACCAAATGCACCAGCATACAAAATATTTGAACACAGCTAGTAGATCGGTATACAGCGTGTAGTTCGGAAAAAATACAGTAACAGACATAATATTTGAATTACTAGCTAGTAGTTGGGTATTCAGCGTGTAGTTCGGACCAAATACACCAGCATACACATTATTTGAATGTTTGAATTACTAGCTAGTAGTTGGGTATTCAGCGTGTAGTTCGGACCAAATACACCAGCATACACAATATTTGAATTACTAGCTAGTAGATCGGTATTTAGCGTGTAGTTCGGACCAAATACACCATCATACACAATATTTGAATTACTAGCTAGTAGATCGGTATACAGCGTGTAGTTCGGAAAAAATACACTAACATACATAATATTTGAATTACTAGCTAGTAGTTGGGTATTCAGCGTGTAGTTCGGAACAAACCCACTTACATACATAATATTTGAATTACTAGCTAGTAGTTGGGTATTCAGCGTGTAGTTCGGACCAAATGCACCAGCATACAAAATATTTGAATTACTAGCTAGTAGATCGGTATACAGCGTGTAGTTCGGAAAAAATACACTTACATACATAATATTTGAATTACTAGCTAGTAGTTGGGTATTCAGCGTGTAGTTCGGACCAAATACACCAGCATACACATTATTTGAATGTTTGAATTACTAGCTAGTAGTTTGGTATTCAGCGTGTAGTTCGGACCAAATGCACCAGCATACAAAATATTTGAATTACTAGCTAGTAGATCGGTATACAGCGTAAAATGTAATGCATTCAATAGGATATGCTTAATCTTTCATTTTGACTACTATGGTTAAGCCAGGTTTGCGGGAAATGTTCGTACAAAACGTTAAGGACTTGGTTTGTAATAACTTCTTTTCATTTGCAGTGACGATACCGCATGTGAAGGTGTTCGACAAACTAGAAGAATGATTTAACAAGCAGGTCCTGTAGCTGCCTTGTGCGTTTATGAGTTATGCATGGCCGACCGAATTTCATTCCACAATCTGATGTCTTCGAAAGAAATAAACATCGATGACCGTGTATTCGAATTGGCCGGTGTCACGATGTACAAGGAAGGCCACTTTTGTGCCATCGTCTTCCTTGATGAAGAGAAATACTGGTACGATGCGCTGAATGCTTGTTTGACCCAATTCCCAAAAGATATGTTGACGCGCTACTTTCCAAGTCATGCGCTCTACTGCCAGATTGCTTGAAATTATGCAACACAAAAACCCGGAAACACTTAGGGCAGTTCAAAACATTACATCGCTTATAAAACATAACAAAACTAAATTTGAAATTTAGGTTCTGGATCCTTGGTCCCGACGGTCTGCAGATATAATCGCGAACATTTTGGCGCATGTGCAGTAAACTATAATTGTAAGACTGGTTTGTAAATATTTCTCTGAAAAAAGATTATTACATGTTCTTAAAAAAGCTAACCAGTCTATTTCCCAACAGCATTTAAACACAATACCGCGTAGTCGTCTGATGACATCTCCAATATTTCGAGAAGACACAATATTTGTAGGGAATGTAACATTAATGCGGTTGATAATCACTTTTTGATATGTTCAAACGTACTCAATATATTCCTAGATACTATGATAATTGGCCCAAATTGACAACATTCAATTTTCAGATGGCTTGTAATAAAAGTAAATTTTGTGTGATATGGCTATGACTTTTATCGTTAACTGAGGTTAGACGAAGCTAGTCGCATAATTATATTTACTTATTTATATGTATTATTTTCAATAGTCGTTTTTTATACTTTTCTGCATATGCTTTTGATTATGTTTACTTGCATGCCATGTCAATATGTTCAAATAAGTATTTTGAGTAAAGTTATGTTCTGTAATAACATGATATGAAAATAAAAACTTTTGTCTTGGCTTAAATAACATTCGAACATTCGAACTAGCTAGTAATTCAAATAATTATTATGTATGCTGGCGTATTTGTTCCGAACTACACGCTGAATACCCAACTACTAGCTAGTTATTCAAATATTATGTATGATAGTGTATTTGTTTCGAACTACACGCTAAATACCAAACTACAAGCTAGTAATTCAAATATTATGTATGTAAGTGTATTTGTTCCGAACTACACGCTGAATACCCATCTACTAGCTAGTAATTCAAATATTGTGTATGTTAGTGTATTTGTTCCGAACCACACTCTGAATGCCCAACAACTAGCTATTAAGTCAAATAGTATGTATGTTAGTGTGTTTGTTCCGAACTACACGCTGAATACCCAACTACTAGCTAGTATTTCAAATATAATGTATGTAAGTGTATTTGTTCCAAACTACACGCTGAATACCCATCTACTAGGTAGTAATTCAAATATTATGTATGTTGGTGTGTTTGGTCCGAACTACACGCTGAATACCGATCTACTAGTTAGTAAGTCAAATATTATGTATCTTAGTGTGTTTGTTTCGATATACACGCTGAATACCCATCCACTAGCGAGTAATTCAAATATTATGTATGTTAGTGTGTCTGGTCCGAACTACACGCTGAATACCGATCTACTAGCTAGTAATTCAAATATTGTGTATGCTGATGTATTTGGTCCGAACTACACGCTGAATACCCAACTACTAGCTAGTAATTCAAATATTATGTATGTTAGTGTGTTTGTTTCGAACTACACGCTGAATACCCAACTACTAGGTAGTAATTCAAATATTATGTATGTTAGTGTATTTTTTCCGAACTACACGATGAATACCGATCTACTAGCTAGTAATTCAAATATTGTGTATGCTGGCGTGTTTGGTCCGAACTACACGCTGAATACCCAACTACTGTGGCTAGTAATTCAAATATTATGTATGTAAGTGGGTTTGTTCCGAACTACACGCTGAATACCCAACTACTAGCTAGTAATTCAAACATTCAAATAATGTGTATGCTGGTGTATTTGGTCCGAACAACACGCTGAATACCCAACTACTAGCTAGTAATTCAAATATTATGTATGTTAGTGTATTTTTTCCGAACTACACGCTGTATACCGACCTACTAGCTAGTAATTCAAATATTTTGTATGCTGGTGCATTTGGTCCGAACTACACGCTGAATACCAAACTACTAGCTAGTAATTCAAACATTCAAATAATGTGTATGCCGGTGTATTTGGTCCGAACTACACGCTGAATACCCAACTACTAGCTAGTAATTCAAATATTATGTCTGTTGGTGTATTTTTTCCGAACTACACGCTGTACTGGCATGCGAGCAGTTCCCGTACAGAAGCAGTACCCGTATTTTTCATTTAAACGCTTGATTTTTACTTGCATTCTTCAAAAATTCATTTCAAATCAAGCAGATACATAAATGAGACAAAATCTTAGTGTCAGTTCGGCAGTACGTATATAAAGTCTCATTTTAAATCACTTTCACCTGTGCGTCGTCAAAACGTGACCTTGTTTTCTCTGGGGGATTTTGTCCTTGCGCGCATGCGCTAAAATATTTACACGTGAGGCTTGTTAAAGGGTTTTCCACTAATACCACCTTTTTACAAATAAGTAGGAAATGTGATGTAAACTTGTTTAATTATCAGGAGGTTGACCAATATTACTATATATAATAATTTTATGGCTTTGATGCGTAAAATATCATGCATACAAGCATGCTATTGCATGTGAATGCGTTTGGGTAACGGTACCGGGTAATTGATACCCGCGTTTAGTCTACGCTCTATTTCCTGAATTACATCTATTTATCTCTTAAATAATGGTCTGTTCAACAATTGTAAATGAAAAATAGGTCCGATATAATAAAATTGTATAATTATAATGGGTTAGATTTTATGTACGGGAACTACTTCTCTTCATACAAAATAATGGATAATTTCGGTACCCCATATGAGGCCTCATAAGTAAGGGTTATACTATGTTTAGAACATGATGGAATTTCCATGATTTGTGTGACGAGCTGAATATTGATGTGTAACATTCAAATTTATGGTGAGTGAGCGTAATAAAAAATAATGTTTAAGTAACTATGATTTTTGTACGGGAACTGCTCGCATGCCAGTATACCGATCTACTAGCTAGTAATTCAAATATTATGTATGTTAGTGTGTCTGGTCCGAACTACACGCTGAATACCGATCTACTAGCTAGTAATTCAAATATTGTGCATGCTGGTGTATTTGTTCCGAACTACACGCTGAATACCGATCTACTAGCTAGTAATTCAAATATTGTGTATAATGGTGTATTTGGTCCGAACTCCACGCTAAATACCGATCTACTAGCTAGTAATTCAAATATTGTGTATGCCGGTGTATTTGGTCTGAACTACACGCTGAGTACCCATCTACTAGCTAGTAATTCAAATATTATGTATGCTAGTGGGTTTGTTCCGAACTACACGCTGAATACCCATCCACTAGCTAGTAATTCAAATATTATGTATGTTAGTTTGATTGTTTCGAACTACACGCTGAATACCGATCTACTAGCTAGTAATTCAAATATTGTGTATGCTGGTGTATTTGTTCCGAACTACACGCTGAATACCGATCTACTAGCTAGTAATTCAAATATTGTGTATGCTGGTGTATTTGTTCCGAACTACACGCTGAATACCGATCTACTAGCTAGTAATTCAAATATTGTGTATGCTGGTGTATTTGGTCCGAACTACACGCTGAATACCCAACTACTAGCTAGTAATTCAAATATTATGTATGTTAGTTTGTTTGTTTCGAACTACACGCTGAATACCGATCTACTAGCTAGTAATTCAAATATTGGCGAATTACTAGCTGAACTACGATGTACAATGTACAAGCCAACTTCACATACCTACTTCCTAGATCATTATTACAAACAAAAGTAGTGAATTACTCTAAGGAAGTTACTTCAATATATAAAAATAAATACAATATACATGTGTATAATCATTTCCGTTCTTTATTAATAGTGATTAAATCGAAACAGTTTAAAATAACCCTACAATATGATGTCATCTGCGTGATGATTAAATGTCGTCTGCTGACAAACAAGCTGTGTTAATTCCCTCATAGGACGACGACCCGCAAATAGAAAACAAGGACAGGGTTGTTAAACTTATTACATTATTTTAGCTTTTCTTCGCAGGCCTATTTCCCGTATCATCGTCTGTCAAAAGTTGTCATTGAACTTAAAAGATACATGTATACAGTTACATGTATAGTACGAAGACACTACATGCACATTGTATTTTCTTCAAGTAATAGTTTTATTAGACAAATATTTATAGACAAATAATGACGGTTTTTATGAGAAACCAAACATTGACCAGTGGACTGCGGCTACAAGCAGGTGTACAACATATTTCCCTCTGCGCATAACAGAACATATAGCACATAAACTTGTACATAATTTCTAATTTATTGAATAATTGTATAATCAGCTATCTATATACAGGTGCTAGTTGCCTCGCATCTCGTTTTATGACATTTTGACTAGTTTAGTGCATGCATGTTTGTTCGATTCAATTCAGGCAGAATTACGTACTCTTTCTTTTAATCTTTGTGCAATAGTTTCCTCGTCTTATTCTTGTTTATATAGGGACATACAATTTTCTTTGTGAAATGACATGTTTAATGCTACATAATTATATAGCATCATTTTGTATATATTTAATGTAAGTCAGTAAAAGAACAGACTGATATTTGATAATACTTCAAAGTTGTTTACAAGCAACAGACAATTTATAACTGACAAGCTGAATGATTTTCGTAACATATTTATGACATAAGTCAGAAAAAGTGGCGATTGGCAAATACATTTTTAAAATAATTAAGCATTGAATGAAAATAATAGGCACAATTGTAAGTTTATTGTGAAATACACTTCGTGGTTATCTAAACTATCGAGAAACCACATGTTTCTGATATTTATGCAATCAGTATAAGCTCAGGCGAGAAAACAAAGTTAGAAATATTAATTCTCAGCATACTCGAGAAAACGTTGTTGCCTTTACATCAGATGAGAAGTACTTTATCAAGACGTGTCTCCAGAAAACCCACAAATTGTGTGTATGGTCCCCGGTCAGCGTACCGAGGATCTGTGATGGGTTTCCCACTTTGGTCTATATTTGTGGCTGACGTCTTACCGGGCTTATGGGACCAATGTCCATCAGCATCTAACCTGCAACATAAAAATAGTGTAGTTACAAGGGAGGTAACCAAAATATAACAATTTTCAATAATACTAGTTGGAGTTGTCTATCATTACAAAGACGTTTGTCAAATGTTAATGCGAGAAGGTTGGACTTATTTACCAGATTCATTGTATACACCGGATTTATTGTACTCACCTATACCAGTGAAAGTCAAACAAATCACTTCCAGGTGTTGGTGGCCAAAACACCAGTGCTACAAGATTCCATTTATGGTCAGGGAGTTTTTTCATGTTTGGAGTAAATACGGCTCTCAGACCATCACACTTTGCAAGCTTTTCAATATTCGTCCCGTTTGTCAGGAGAATGTTGTTGCAATTACCGGCACGACCTGGCTGCGCAAACGTGTCTGTGATTTTATTGTTTGCATAATTATAACAGTTATTATGTTCCTTCACGACACGCTTATTCCATTTAAAAGGCTCGAACCTAGTCGGTCCTAGGAATGGAGGTGGCGCAGTTATGTTTCTGAACCTTTTGTCGATTCCCCATAGCTTTGCAAGCTCCATCATGTCACTGTTAGACAGTGAGTTAATTGGATCAACTGTGGTAGGTTTGTAGAACAAAGAGCCATAATCATAATCATTGTAAGGATTGTATAAAGATCTCCTTTTACGTCTAGCCTGGAAAATACAATTAAAAATCATCTGAAGAAAGTGTGATCCCTCGGAAGCATTAATCACAACAACATTACATGAAAAGTGTAGGCTTGGTTTCATTGAGTCTGTACATGAGAGATAATAAGAACGTGCAACATCCCTCACGCCCCCATAGCACCGGCTTGAGCGGTACTCAATTTCAACACTTAAAAATGATAGAATAAATAATCACGTAGGACCAGAAAAAAAGAACACTGAAGTGAAGTACAGGGCAACATTTTACAGTTGCCTAACAGCACTTGACACCTGCTATTGTGAAGTAAGCATATATCTTTCAGTGAAATGAAAAATGGCAGACTAAGAGAGACTATCTATAGACATGAAGTACAATTTTAAGTCACGTTTATTGTATAAATTGTGAATATGTAGTTAAACATAGATGCTCTTACTTAATTTAAGTTCATTTTTACACTGTTAAGACACGCATTGCATAATTCATAATGTTAAATAAATAAATAAAATAATCTTAAACGGATTTATAGAGGCACCATATATTTACATACTATCGTTTGAAAACACCATGTAGGTACTCTCCACTTTCATTTACTTATTCATTACAAGAGGGATACACTTTTGTTGCCCTAGTATTTTATTAGACACGTATACACCTTACTGACAGGAATAGAAAAGTTCCGATCCTAATTGTCTTAGACGGCTTGTACAGCATTGGTATATCCTTCAAAGTTAAGCCAAGATATAGTTGAGCCGCGTCATGACAAAACCAATATAGTGCGTTTGCGACCAGCATGGATCCAGACCAGCCTGCGCATCCGCGCAGTCTGATCAGGGTCCATGCTGTTCGCTATCAGTTTCTCTACTTGCTATAGGGTTTGTAAGCGAACATCATGGATCCTGATCAGACTGCGCGGATGCGCAGGCTGGTCTGGATCCATGCTGGTCGCAAACGCACTACGTTGGTTTTGTCGTGACACGGCTCAAATTAATTATGTTTACTACTTACAACAGTTTTCAGTATGGACTGTTTAGCGTGTAGTCTCAGATCTTCAGCATCACCTTGATATGTTTGTAGAAGATACAACTCCCAATCCGGTAATGACGTCACAGTTCTGTTGAAATACCTTTTCTTTTCGAAATTCTCTCCGTCGGATATGTGGACCAATGAAAACCCTTTATATCCAAGCTCTGACATAAATAAATATTTACTTTACGTGAGCAGAATACGTTTGAAAGCGTCACTCTTATTAGTTGGGCAATAAAAGCATAATATATATTTTTATTGCTCGCAAAAGGAAGTTATCATTGAACTAGATGTGTATACATGTACGATTCTCTAAGAGCGTCGTATATCTTTATGACCATGTCAAGTTATTTTAATGTTTGAACACCGAAGTGAAGTGCTTTAAATGCAAATTTCATGAAACGCTGCTTAACGAAAAATTATGTTTGTCACGGTGCTTATACCACAAATGTTTGTGATCTGCGTGGAGCATTTTCTGCCAAAATTATTTTAATATTTTATTATTTTATGTGTGAATAAGTGTAGAACCAGTTCATACAAGTGGAGAACCCGTACATAGAATGTCTTTTCGGAAAAAAATATCATTAGTTGTTTTGTTTAAGTGAAACCGTGTGAATATTTTATTGTTCAAACAAGCGGAATCACTTTCCGTAAAAACACAGATTTCTTTTCTAAAACAATCTCTTCTTCGTCTTCCTCCAGTGAAGTGAGACATTTTCTCTCTGTGTGTTATTTACTAGATTGAGCGAGATCTACACTTTATCCCATAAACTATAATGAAATATTTAAAAAAGTTATAGCAGTGAAATAAAACTCGGACCGTCTTATGTATTTGTTTTCTGTCAACACAATAGTCGCTGGATATAGTCACCGTGTTTGTATAGCAGATGAATTCCGAAGATGTGTTCTTTTTTCTGGAAAAGTATTAACAGTTGAAGAAAAAGTAAAGCATTACTTACTGCTTGGTAGTGGTTTTGTAGGAATGCCATTTATGTTTTTAACAATGACGTTATAGGCTGGATGTGAGTACGGAATAAGCCATGATGGATCCCGACGTCCAGAATACACGTGCATTGTCACGTTAATATGCCATTCGCCATTTCCTGTCCGGAAGTCGTTATTTGTCGACGGCTCTTTGTCTAAGTCGTTGTTCTTTAGACTGAATATAAGAAATATACACTATACCATATAGATCACCCTTTTAAACACGTGCAGCTTGTTACGTATGCCTTTAATGTACATGTGCTGATGTTACTTGTTTGTTCACTATAGACCCAATACGTTAACAATCTCAAATAAATCAGGTACATGTATATTATGGATAACGAGGTTGTTATGTTATTAAAAATATTTGTTTTGTGCAAATGTAGTTATAGTCAAATAACATTGACACTGGCAAAAGACTATAAATTTTATTCAAAGTCGGCCAACTGCAGTAGTGTGATTCGGAGTTGTCCGTAGTATGGTCATACACTGGTATGGTCATACACTGAGAAAGTGAAATTCATTCTCTACTTGCCTCATATTACATGATTTACAAATTCGCTGTTTTCTACAAGTGATATCATATCTAACAGTTTCTATGATGATGTTCGTAATCTAGTTAAAACAGTTCTGTATTTGCTGTCTTGGACACAATCTAAATACTTTTTTCATTTCAAAAGAATGTTTGAATATGCAGTTTAGTTGTAAATTTAGTGAATTGTTAATAGATGCAAACCAATTTTGTTGTAAAGTGTCAACTAATCTTTGTTAAATAGCAGTATATGGTATATCTATATCTAATTGATGATAAGCCAAGACTTGACAAAGTTTCTTTTATATCTCCCCCACTCCATTTTTTCCAGTTATAAGTTCGGCCATCGTATGTGGCTCACTAAGATTTAAGTATTTTTGACCAATATCTTATTATGTTAAGATTTCTAGTAACACGTAGCGGATAACACAGAGCGCTTGTTTTAACCCCTTAAACTCTCCACAAAAACAGTACTGTCAGATTCTATATCATTTCAAGAACAGAACTGAACAGATCAGAACATACTCTATATTCTCTGAGATACATAAGTACTGTAGGAACATAAGTACAGTATGGGGAAAAGAAAAAAAACAGGTTAAAGTTTGACAAAGGTATGCATGTAGTACTTTGGGGAGACCCTGATAATATCATAATATTCCTTTTGTAACTTTTACGTAATACATTTAGGTAGATACTGTATGAAAAAATACATGCACAATGTAATGTAAGACAAATCTATATTTACCTTGCTAAATGGCATGTATAAACATATGATTATTTAAATTTCGCAATTATTGTGTAAGAAAAAATAGACAAGTGCTTTAATTATTTTTCGGGTGACATCATGTTATTTAAAACTGTTAAACTTAAATTATTAGTAAGAATTGACCTTTGAAACGTAAAGGAAGGGCAACATAATAAATAATGTTTTTCGGTGCTTATTCACTTTCTGTTTTTGAATAATAGTCCGCCCCACCTGCCGGTTTATATAATTTATATGCGTTACTTGAGATCAAATGAGCGTAATGCCACTATGGTTGACCTAATAAATCCAGGTTTTTATCTTCCTAGTCTATGTGCACTTGTGTCAAAAAGCGTCTTTCCGAATTGAAATTCAAAATGGCGACTTGGGGGGTGTCAGTATCAATAATAAGCAATAATATCATATGACCAAATGTACATGAATTTTAGTAGCTTATATTAACAAAACGTAAAACTTAGCATCCCAAGTAAGCGAAGTCAAACGTGTTTTGAGCGACCGCGCAAGGAAACACCAAAAATGGTCGCATAATGAAACGGTCTCTTAAAACAAAGCATGAGAAAAAAGTCAAAATTAAAACATTTAATCTTTCCTTTTGCGGTGGGAAGTCTTTTTATTTCATTTATATAAATGATTTATAATAAGAATGTTCCGATGATCTAAATAGATTCTAAGATAAAAATAACTTTCAGATATTTATTGACAAACAGTTTTGATCCATTACGTAAATGTTTGAAATTTTTCCAGATTTTTTTAAACTTCTCCGTTGCATTGGGGTCCATGTCTCCGAACAAAAAACCTAATTAGTGTATATGTTTTCTGTTGTGCATTTTTCATTTGTTTGATTGTTGATACTTGTGACACCACGAGGCGGCGTTCTCTAAAAACAGTGGATTGATCTCAATTAGCTTACTAATAAGCGGTCACCGGCCGCGTTGAGCGAAAGTCGCTTAATATATTAATGATATAGAGAGTAAATGATCGGGAGGAATTTGAAGTGGTCGCATAAGACAAAAGTCGCTTAATACATGTGGTCGCATGGGCAAGTTAGACTGTATTTCTTAAGTCGATGAATAGGAAAAAAGATATTTAGAACACCTTCCAAACGAATTCAAGTTTTCGTAAAGATTTAAATTGGTGGATATTGATTTGCATGTTTGTTATATTTGTAGATCTAGATGAATAGACTTTTATGTTTAAATGTCTCTGCCAAGTACTGTATGTGTGTAAAGATAACATTCATTGTTGATTTGCCAAAAAAAACAAAACACAACAACTTGAAACTTGTAATTTATAATAATGAAATAAAAACTATGCCGCGTTTTTAAAAAATATTGTGATAAAGAAAAACAATCTTGGGTTTGCATAGAAAGCAAAGGATTCTTATGTGACATGTTCATTTGAAGAACGGAACAAAAGGTGGGGTTTATGATAACGGCCGTACAAAAATTAAACAGATGACACATCCAAACACGATTCATACCATATCCAGGATTTATACCATATGGGGTCGCAAAATATTGACAAGAGTACAATAAGGGGTATTACATATTGGTATGGAGTAGTTTACTGGTATTCCAGAGGGATAATGAGTCAAAGTCTGATAATTTACATTAATTTACATTAATTTGTGCATTATTTTCGCGAAGAAAGGAAGTTGTTAAATCTTACATACTAGCCAATGCCTGGTGTCTAACTACAATTCAGAGGTCGCAGGTTCGAATCCCCGCTTCTCAATCTTCAGTTACTAACAAGCCTTTCGGAGGAGACTTAAAAATAACAAGAAAAAAAAACCCCAACAAACAACAACATATCACTCTTTCAACTCCAACTGTTGTCCCCTTCCTCTTTTGTACGATGTATTGCAATTATTGTACAGTGTACATGTATGTCTCAATTTTGGAACATAAATCTTTTATGAGGGTCCAACTAAATTTTGCATATTTTTTTATAGAATGATGGAAACGATTTTTATTTACTGCTTTTCTTATCTCTATTTAGAGATGTTATCATGTTCAATTAAAGAAACATTTGGAATTATTTTATACTGTTGATATCGATATCTCAGACATAATTGTCTTGTTAAATAATCATAAACCCAGGTATGGAATATACTGCTATTTAATTATGCTTAATTCACCTTTATTCACCTGTAAACAATTATATTATCTTGATAAAGATACCACATGTTCAGAATATAATATTACAAATGGTATAAAAATGAGACTTAATAGGTGAATGCTATGTTTATTTAATCAAATGTGGAGAAATATACAACAATGTTATTTTTCTATGTTACAAACGCCCTTTTATTTAATTTATAATTCATTATGAGTTGATGTTGAATTGTTGATGAAACTTTGGAATTGTGACAAGGCTAAAAATGGTCCCAGGTCCACCTTAAGGTAACGTGTAACCAACGCTGAAAAGCCTTTGACTCTATCTCAATCAATTGAGAAGTTGCGCTTTGAAGTCAGCTTTGATGGAAAAATCAACGCAAAATAGTGATTTTTTGGCAATTTTAAAATGTCCACTCGTTGCCATGGTAACAGGAAATTTAAAATTGAGTATGGCGTCACAAAGGCTATGGTCCAGTCAACAGTTGTGCCCAGTTTGACATTATGGAAGCTTTTTTTATAGTTCCATTTGAACAGCCATTTTTCACAAACTGCTCATGAAGTAATGGATTTTTAAATAAAATATTGTGAAGTGACATAAATAATTGACACATTGCAAACTGCACTAACATCCCCTGTAAATCAAAATATACAAAAATAGTTCTTACTGCGCTAGCAACGCAGTAGAAATAATGTGAAATGCGCATAACATGGAAATTATTACTTTTATCTTAAATCTATTTTACTTTTCTTTAGGTCTCAGTACATTTTTCTAAAGTTTGATTTTCTTGAAATATTTTGCATCGTCTGGAGGCGTGCAGCTTAAAAGACACCGCTTTAAATTTGAAGCTGTGCATTTCACACAATGATAAGAAATGTTGTAATTGCAGATCAACAATGTGTAATTACTCTTTCTGAAAGAATAAGAGATACGGCTGGAACGATTATACCAAATATTGATGCCTCTTACATGACTGGAACCAAACTTTGTTAAGAAAACAGGAATTAATTATAATTTATTAAAGAAAGCAAAATGTCAAAGAGTTTAAGCATTCATTTCCGTTTACAACTTAAATATGTTTTCCTGGTAAATGGCTCCTATATGTATATGTATGTCCTGAAATAATGCACGTGGTATCGGTATCTGATAAATATCAAATACCTTTTAAGTTATTTGAATAAATGAATCGTATCTTCAGAGGGGTAATTTATATATGTTTATATGTATACCGATGTATTTTATGTACCACCAGCGTACTTGTTATGTCTTTTATGCAAGTTACTCAATTTCAATCTTATACTTACATAATTTATGATAATTATGTAGTTTTGCAATTATATTACAACGTATTATATAGCACGTGACATCGTTGATAGAAATTATGCTCGTATATAATGATTTAACTAGCATTTATATCTATAAAATCGTTTATATCTATGTCTTGTTGGCATAGCAAAAATAATAATTATGTCGACTACCCTGCTAAATCGTTCAACGTTTCCGTATGATATATGAAACATACTTACAACAATTAAAATTACATAAATATTTCTGTATTAGAAACGATAAAACCAAGTTTTTTTCTTTCTTTTCTGTTTCTTTTACGTTCATATTATTCTTAGTTTATAAACATCGTTGTTATATTTAAAAAAATCGCATTCTTCTCTCTACATTATCATGATTAATCAAAGGTTAACGGCGAACTGTAAAATGACAATTAATCCCGCGCCCCTTAAAATAAATATATAAAAAAAGAAAAAAGGAGCAAACTGGACTATACCTCAAACTGCGAGAATTTCCCACCAAGAAAAGGCACAATAAGATTCCTCCGTACATTTTACGTGCTCCGTTACTGAATTAATTTCGCAATGACAAAATCATTCCAATCTTATTATATTTCTGCAACGACCCGCGCAACTTCCTTATTGGTGAAATATTTTATTATCAACCGGTTTTGTAAACAAGCCAGCGATATATATGAATTCGAAAAATACCCGTATTATGATACCATAAAAACTAGTTGAATACAGTAATCTAAAAGATTTACAAATATCCATTTCATTTCATTTGGAATATAATCGTTGCAAGTATCTGTGGTCGTTTTTTGCTGTGTAAGTGTTTTTGGCTCACCTCAGCAGGTGAGCTTTTGTGATGACAGTGTGTCCGTCGACCGTCGTTCGTCGACCGTCGTTATTCAAATTCGTTTTATCAATATCTCCCAAACCACTTGATTGATTTTGACCTCACAGGAATGATTCTTAGATGGTCCTCCACAATCTAATGTATAAGAAGGTCAAACAGCTTAAAATAAACTTTAAAAATTTAATATTTTAAAATCTTCTTCTAAGAAACTATTATGCCCAGAGCTTAGATATATATAGCATATAGTAGCACCTTGTGGCTCTATATAAAATTCACAAATCATGCCCCTGGGGGGAAAATGACCCTTCCTAGGGATCATTTAGTTCATGAACGCTTGTAAAGGATAATACATTTATGTCTTCTTTTATAAAACTGCAATGCTAAGCGCTAAGGTATTGTTACGCCCCGCGCTTGGTGGTGTGAGCCTAAGCAGTGATCAAATAGGATCTCTCTTTAAATGAGCTGTCAGGATCTGTTTCAATATGACTTTGCAGACTTTTTAGCAACCTATCAAATGAGCTGGGAGTTGACTTTTTCTAACGTAGGCTGATCACAGTTTCAGCTGCTCACCGTGACTGTAAATACTAGGGCCGACCTGAATGCTTGCTCGGTTGGTCGCTTCTTGACGTTTGGACTTCCAACTATTTAATTATTATTCTAAAAACAATCTTGGGAAACACCTTAACTAAGCAAAAAGGAAAACAATATTTCTAGAATCAACAAATTTATTGCGAGATAAATATTATTTCACAATTTATGAACATGTACGAAAAACAAGAAGAAAGAAAAATTTCGTTAAATAAAAATATTCTAAGAATAGAAATAGGTCGTAAAACACGGTGGACAGCCGCGGCGTAACCACTAAAATGACGCGTATCTGTCAATTCCCAAGATAAAATAAAAATGCAAAAAATATTAAGTATATGCAGATGTAATAAAGAGAAAAAATTATATTTCCTTTAATTCAAAGAAGAAAAAGTTACTTATTTTACGTTAAAAAAATAATGCACACCTTTTAAAATTCAGTCAAGTATTTTAAGCTTTCAAATTTCAGTGAACAATCAAAATACGGTGTATAGTGGAACCCCATTGTATCGTGCTATTCATTGTATCGATCTATTTACAAATCTTTAGATTTTTAGAAAAATACGTCACCTTCTGATTGTTAACATTAACAACAGTGTCACGAAAATCTTTCGCATTTATTTTTCTGCAGTAAAATGATCAAAAACATGTTTCCAGTACCGTAAGACGTTGTAGGTAATAAATAGACTTATAAATAATGTGTTCTTATTTAAAGTACATTTACGGTCTGTTAAAAGTTCCTAAATTTATGCTGACATTTAAAAACAGACAACTATGTTTCTAATTGACTGAAAAATCTAGCATAAAGATGGCAAAGGCTTCCAAAACTTTGGCTAACTGAGCGATTCTCACAATGCATCGATATAATGGCGTGACCTAATTCTTCAACCTATTTGACATGTCTGTAAATATCGTATATTCCAAAGCTAAAAACTACATATCAATGATTTTTGCCATGTAAATGTTATGGCAAAAGGATCAAAATAAACGATACAAAATAAATATTCAGGGAGATTTGAATTTTTTAAATGCAGTTGTGATTTATGGGTTAGTAGATCGATACAACGGGGTTCCAGGCTACATGATCACACTACATGAAAATTTCGAAGTTGGAAGACCCCGACTGAAGGCAGACGGGCTATTTATATGCCACAGTCCCCACAAATTCCACAAGCTTGTGGAAAGAACGCTCCACAGACTTTCTTGTGGGGCCCACAGAATTTCTTGTGGAAGGAACGCTCCACAGTATTTTACGTGGGAAAGTCATCCCACAGTCTTTTTTGTGGGTTCCACAGATTTCCTTGTGGAAGAAAGAAAAAATAAGTTAAGAATACATAAAACAATATAACACACCTCAAATTTACGTTTTCTGCCAGTAATTAAATGGAACATCATAAAAAGTTGAGTTTAAACTTTATCATATAAAGTACAGCATCCACGGTTGCTATGCGAGTGCTCGTCGTGTTTACAATATATAAAAATAGTAACAAAATGGCCGCCTGCAAGAGGACAGGTGTACTCACAGTGCTGTTAAAAACAATGACAAAATAAAGGGATTATATGATTAATAAAGTGGTTTCGCTCTGTGGTAAGACAATTCTAGGATTTCTTTATCAAATACAATCAACAATTTAACGCTAGCTTGTCTGAGAACGATAAACAGAGATGTTTACATATTTCGCGAAAACTGTATACATTCGAGGCTGACATTTAAAGTTCCAGTCCAAGAAATCAGTTACAGTATGAAAATAAACAGACAGCAGATATCTGAATAAACAAACATTCATCATGCATTTATGACAGCCTCTGTATGTTGAATTATGTATGATGAGAAACTCTCATCATCCTCATAAAAAATATTACTGTGAATTAACATTGAATACAAGAAATTAAACAAAGTGTGGATATTACATTACAACAGTACAGATCAAGGTAAGTATAAGAGATGTGACCCTGGGATATTACAGTATTTGTCTTGTAGCATTGTTAAGTGGACCTCTACAAAAATTTTGTAAATCATGCTTCTTGGACCAAATAAGTCCGCCTCCGGGGTCACTTTATTTATAAAAAAAATGTATAGAAAAATATCTTAAAAGACTTCACCACATAGAGCTAACAGATATTTGGCATAAGATATTTGGCATGTCGAATCACCTTGTGGTCCTCTTAAAAAAGCGATATAAACAAAACCCCTGAGGTCAAAATTGACACGGCCCCAGGGGTCACATAGTTTATATAGGCTTGTATAGCAAAATGCTTTTATGTCTCTTTTTTGTGAAACTTCAATGCCAATTTGGCATGTAGCATTTCCTTTAGCTACAATACCTCTAAAAAAACTTAGTTGGCATAGAATTGTATTATATTATTTATATATTATGTCTTAAAAATCTTTTTCCTTAGTAATACGATGCTTAGAGCTTAGATAATTTGCTTCAAGTGGTCCTCCACAAAAGTTATATAAATAATGTCTCTTTGGTAAAAAATGACCCAAACCCGAGAGTCACTTTGTGTATATAGACTTTTATTAATACATTGCAGTCTTCTTTTGTGAGACTACAATGCCAAGACCTTAGATATTGGGCATGCAACATTGCTTAGTGGATATCTACACTCTACAAGAGTTATATAAGTAATGCCTCTGGGCTTAAAATTTACCCTGGATGCCACTTAGTTTTATAGACTTGAATAAACAGAAACAAAGTTTAAAACATTTTTTTCTCTGCTAATAACTGAATTTAAAATTGAAACATAAATAATGATTGTGACTTTTCTAGCAATGTATATCAAGTGAGTGATCTAGGGCCATCCTGGACGTCTTGTTTAAAATAAGCAATTTATCAAATGAAAAAGAATACCTATTGTTGTGACAAGGAAGTTTAAAACTGAACTTTGATCCGATCATAACGATACTGATTTAACCATTTTTATACTGGCCTAATTACTGGACTTTGAATCATTTTTAAATAGAAAGCACAATTTTAACTATTTCATTTTCATATCTACATAGTCCGTAAAACAAAGAAAAAAAAACACAAAGAAAATGACATGAGTTGGAATGTTAAAAAATAGAAGATGGCCATGAATTAGCTAAATCTGTTATAAAAATAAATAAAAATTGTGTCGTTTCCTAATGTGAAGATCAATATATTTTCATGAAAGAGTCCGTTATAGATTAAAGCAAGACAGTATTTCATCAGGATATGATAACTCCATTTACAGACAAGTGCATCTGGATACAGTCAAACCTCGTTACACCTTACCTAGAGAATCTCGAAGTGTTTATACTTCTCATTAAACGTGTTAGACGATTTTCAAGTTGTTTTTTTCTTTTTTTCAAATATACCATTTCTTTAAATTTCTTTAAATCAACCTTTTTTAGTTTGAATGCAAAAATAACCTCCTTAATTTTAAGATTAAATCAACTTATTTTTAATTTTTAAAACAAAACATTTCTCTTTAATTTCAATTTAAATCAAAGTCTTAAATTTAAACTTACTTCTTTAGTTTCAACATTAATTCTCTGAGTTTAAACAGCGAATCAACATTTTTATGTTGAGCACCAAGCCAATTTCATTAGTTTAAGTACATCAAACCAACTTCTATCGTTAAAACATAAAATCAACATATTTAGTTTAAATCTTAACTAATCTTCTTCTTAGTTTTAACATCAAATTATCTTGTTTAAGTACAACATGAAATCAACCTCCTAAGTATAAACACCAAATCATCTTCCTTAGCTTAAACATAAAACCATCTTCCTAACTTTAAACACTCAATCAAGTTCCTTCATTTAAACGTAAAATCAAGTTATTTCGTATAAACATAAAATAAAGTTATTTCATTTAAACATAAAATCAAGTTAATTTTTTTTAAACATAAAATCAAGTTATTTCGTTTAAACATAAAATAAAGTTATCGTACAGAATCAAGTTATTTCGTTTCAACATAAATTCAACACTTTCAGTTTTAACTTAAAATCATCTTTCTTAGTTTTAACATCAAATCATCTACATGTACCAAAATTAAAACATCAAATCAAATTCTTCAGTTTCAATACTTAAAATCAACTTTCTTACTTAAAGAAATATAAACTTATCATACTTAGTTTTAATATCAAATCAGTTCCATCACATTCAACATCAAATATCAAATTTTATTCATAAGTCAAATCAAAAGTCTTAGTTTAAACATTTTTTTCAGCATTCGGCATTTTCGGAAGTTGGATAAAACACTTTTAAACATTCCTTTATAAGAAGCTTAATTTAATTCTAGAATCCTTTAGTCAAAATCTGCTAGTAGGAAAGTGATCTCCCTCATAACTATGACTACTCATGAAAGTCAACAATCTTTCCATTACAATTAAACATCAAAAGAAACAAACGCAATAATCATCTATCATGTTGGCCAAAATTTATTGAATCACTCACTATATTATAAAGAATTAGGTGTCTATAGATTTATTCGAACTAATATGTCTTGTCTTGTCTTGTTGGCAAAGCAAAAATAATAATTATGTCGACTACCCTGCTAAATCGTTTAACGTTTTCGTATGATATATGAAACATATACTAACAACAATTAAAATTACATAATTATTTCCAAACTGTATTAGAAACGATAAAACCAAGTTTTTTTTCTTTCTTTTCTGTTTCTTTTACGTTCATATTATTCTTAGTTTATAAACATGGCATCGTTGTAATATTTTAAAAAATCGCATTCTTCTCTTTACATTATTATGTTTAATTATAGGTTAACGGCGAACTGTAAAATGACAATTAATCCCGCGCCCCTTAAAAATTAAAAATTAAATATATAAAAAAAAAGAAAAAAAGGGAGCAAACTTGACTATACCTCAAACTGCGAGAATTTCCCACCAAGAAAAGGCACAATAAGATTCCTCCGTACATTTTACGTGCTCCGTTACTGAATGAATTTCGCAATGACAAAATCAGTCGAATCTAATGATATTTCTGCAACGACCCGCGCAACTTCCTTATTGGTGAATTATTTCGTTATCAACATATTTTGTAAACAAGTCAGCGGAAATACCCGTATTATGATACTATAAAAACTAGCTGAATCCGATAATCTTAAAGTTTTACAAATATCTATTTCATTTTTTCACTTGGAATGAAATCGCTGCAAGTATATGTGGTCGTTTTTTTGTTGTGTGAGTGATTTTGGCTCACCTCAGCAGGTGAGCTTTTGTGATGGCAGTGTGTCCGGCGACCGTCGTTCGTCGTTATTCAAATTCGTTTAAACAATATCTCCCTAACCACTTGATGGATTTTGACTTCACAGGAATGATTCGATAAAAGTTATGAAAGTGGTTCCAGTCTGGTGCATAAGTAGGTCTAACAGCTTAAAATAAACTTTTAAAAATTAAATATTTTAAAGTGTTCCTTTAAGAAACTATTATGCCCAGAGTTTAGATATGTAGTATGTAGTATCACCTTGTGGTTCTATACACAATTCACAAATCATACTCCTGGGGTCAAAAATGACCGTTCCTAGGGATCACTTAGTTTATGAACGCTTGTATAGGAAAACATTTATGCCTTCTTTCATGAAACTGCAATGCTGAGGTATTTGGCTGTAGCATTGTTAGGTGGACTTCTACAAAAATTTTGTAAACCATGCTTCTTGGATCAAATTAGTCCCGCCCTGGGTGTCACTTTATTTATATAAAAACTGTATAGTAAAATATCTTAAAGGACTTCACCTTAAAAACTACAATACCTAGAGCTTAGAGATATTTTGCATGAGATATTTGGCATGAGATATTTGGCATGTTGAATCACCTTGTGGTCCTCTTAAAAAGCGATATAAACAAAACCCTTGAGGTCAAAATTGGCACGGCCCCAGGGGTCACTTAGTTTATATAGGCTTGTATAGCAAAATGCTTTTATGTCTCTTTTTGTGAAACTTCAATGCCAAAAATGTGTTTTATTTGGCATGTAGCATTTCCTTTAGCTACAAGATCTCTAAAAAATCACTTAATTTACATAGAATTGTATTATATTCTTGCTATATTATGTCTTAAAAATATTTTCCCTATTAATACGATGCCCAGAGCTTAGATAATTTGCTTGAAATGGTCCTCTGCAAAAGTTATATAAATAATCTCCCCTTGGTAAAAAATGACCCAACCCCGAGAGTCACTTTGAGTATATTGACTTTTATTAATACATTTTAGTCTTCTTTTGTGAGACTACAATGCCAAGACCTTAGGTATTGGGCACGCAACATTGCTTAGTAGATATCTTCACTCTAGAAGAGTTATATAAGTGATGCCTCTGGGCTTAAAATTGACCCTGGAGGCCACTTAGTTTTAAAGACTTGAATAAACAGAAAAAAGTTAAAAACATTTTTTTCTATGCTAGTAACTAAATTTAAAATTGAAACATAAAGACATTTTCTAGCAATGTATAGCAAGTGAGCGACCTAGGGCCATCCTGGACCTCTTGTTTAAAATAAGCAATTTATTAAATGAAAAAGAATATCTATTGTTGTGACAAGGAAGTTTAAAACTGAACTTTGATCCGATCAAAACTATACTGACTTAACCATTTTTATAGCGGCCTAATTACTGGAATTTTATTCATTTAAATAGAAAGCGCAATTTTAATTATCTAATTGTCGGTAAAACAAAGAAAATGTCCATGAGTAGGTTTGTTGCTAATTCTGTTATAACAATTAAATAAAAATTTTGTCGTTTGTTCATGCGAAAATCAATATATGAGCCGTGTCATGACAAAACCAACGTAATGCGTTTGCGACCAGCATGGATCCAGACCAGCTTGCGCATCCGCGCAGTCTGATCAGGATCCATGCTGTTCGCTTATAGACCCTATAACAAGTAAAGAAACTGATAGCGAACAGCATGGATCCTGATCAGACTGCGCGGGCTGGTCTGGATCCATGCTGGTCGCAAACCCATTATGTTGGTTTTGTCGTGACACGGCCCATATATTTCATGAAATATGGTACTTGAAGCGTCTGTTATAGATTAAAGCTAGACAGTATTTCAGCAGGACATGATAACTCCATTTACAGACAAGTGCATCTGGATACAGTCAAACCTCGTAACACCTAAACTACAAAATCTGGAAGCATTTGATCTTGGAAATGATTCTTTTTATTAATGTTTAAGGTTATTTTCAATGAGTGTTTTTTAATCTATGATTTCTTTTAAAGATTAAAGCAACATTTTAGTTTGAATGTAAAAATAACCTCCTTAATTTTAAGATTGAATCAACTTATTTTTAGTTTTTAAAATAAAACATTTCTCTTTAATTTCAATTTAAATCAAAGTTTTAAATTAAAACAAAAATAACTTCTTAAATTTCAACATTAGTTCTCTGAGTTTAAACAGCGAAACAACATTTTTATCAAGTTATTTCCTTTAAACATAAAATTAAGTTATTTTTTTAAACATGAAATTTATTTATTTAATTTAAACATAAAATCAAGTTATTTCATTTAAACATAAAATCAAGTTATTTCGTTTAAACATAAAATCAAGTTATTTCATTTAAACATAAAATCAAGTTATTTCGTTTAAACATAAAATCAAGTTATTTCGTTTAAACATAAAATCAAGTTATTGTTTTAAACATAAAATCAAGTTATTTTGTTTAAACATAAGTTCAACACTTTCAGTTTTAACTTAAAATCATCTTCCTTAGTTTTAACATCAAATCATCTTCCTTAGTTTTAACATCAAATCATCTTCCTTAATTACAACATCAAATCAACTACCTAAATTAAAACATCAAATCAAATTCTTCAGTTTCAATACTTAAAATCAACTTTCTTACTTAAAGAAATATAAACTTATCATCCTTAGTTTTAATATCAAATCAGTTCCATCACATTCAACATCAAATATCAAATTTTATTCATAAGTCAAATCAAAAGTCTTAGTTTAAACATTTTTTTCAGCATTCGGCATTTTCGGAAGTTGGATAAAACACTTTTAAACATTCCTTCACAAGAAGCTTCAGTTAATTCTAGAATCCTTTAGTCAAAATCTGCTTGTAGGAAAGTGATCTCCCTCATAACTATGACTACTCATGAAAGTCAACAATCTTTCCATTACAATTAAACATCAAAAGAAACAAACGCAATAATCATCTTTCATGTTGGCCAAAATTTATTGAATCACTCACTATATTATAAAGAATTAGGTGTCTATAGATTTATTCGAACTAATATTGAACTAATATTGGTAACCGTAGCCGGCCTCTTCCATTGTCTTCTTGATCCATTCAGAATACTGGGGAACATCTTCGAACACACTTGGCTGATCGGCCTTGGTGCAATCACCACCGGAAGATGCTAGACCTACATGTACAATATCAATTACGTCACATTAAACACCAACTATAGCATACATGTATATATACATCGCAACTTCACGGTCCTTTTCGTCAAACTTGGTTATTACTGATAATAGCCGAAATGTTCCGATTGACACATTGATACATTACTACTGCTCAACAAGAAAATCTTGTAAAACAGTTCAAAGAAATATTTTATGTTTTCAAATATGCGCAGATGAATTATACCAATACCATGTACAAGTAAAGTATTTTTAAGTCTTTTTCTAAAAAAAGTTTTATCTAATTCACTATGTTATACCTTGAATGTACCATGCTCCGCTCTGATCCTTGCACATCAAAGGACTTCCAATATCATCCTTAAATACAAAAAAGTAATTTATTATTGTTATCATTGTAGAAATTATTGTAATATATGCACGATATAGTTACATATTTTATGTAACGCAAAATGTGTTATGATCGTCTTCTTGCATTGAACAAAATTTCTATTCACAACTATACTTTTCATGGTTAACATCGTGGGTCATTCGATTTTAGCTGTCATTACAACACTAGCATCACAACAACATCAACAACATAAGCAACACTACCACAAACAGAAAATGGACACAAAACAGTTAGAATGTTAGTTACTTTTTGGTATAGGCAAATCAAAGGCAGTTTTGATCTATGAAATCTTTCTTTAAATGATACACGTTTACAAAGACCGGCTTTATCTCCATTATTATTGTAGAAGTACGGAGAAGGCGGTAAGTAAAAGGTTGTGATAATCAATGTCAACAGTTATGAGTTTTCTTTAATTTCCACAGATATGGTGCAGAAAGTAGGTACGAAATGATTATCTACTTCAAATGATAACTTATCTTGCCACCGAATTTAAAGTTCTATCAGTTTTTATGTCCTTCTTTTGTTCTATGATATCTTATCTTGACCACCGAATTTAAAGTTCTATCGGTTTTTATGTACTTTAAAACATTAAAAAAATAAATCAATCAAACAGCCAGCCAGCCAGCCAGGCAACCAACCAACCAACCAACCAACTAATCAATTAGATACTTACAGCACACCAGTCCTTGCCCTGGTTTTTATATCCAGCACACAGTTCATTATTGGTTAGGTATACAGGGAACTCATTGGCACACACGCTGTCATCCAGGATTGGGAGATCAACCTGGTTCAAAACTTCTTCATTTCCGGTTGCTGGAATAAAGGAAACAACATTATTTTTAGATTGAACTATGGAACAATTATAACAAGGATCGTTTTTATCTTGTTTTGGTGTTCACATCTTTCACTTACATTATTACCATGGTTTTTAGATACATGTATACAGTACTATGGCGCTATCATAAGGCACGTTATAAAGACAAATGCTCTCATTTGTTTGCGGTTACGTACACCTGACTGCATTTGCATTTTTTCTCTCAAAGGAACTTCATAATTATCTATATATATACACATAACCTGTGAAAAATGTAAACGAGGTCAAATACAAAATTATATAATTCCTTTAGAATATGGATTTAATTAAACCGTACTTGCTGTGCTGCCCCATCCAGGTAGATAGCATGTCTCACCGACCGTGTATGTGTGACTGGCATCTGGGAGACAAGCTGGACGTGTGTGGTCGTTGAACCTGTAACCGGACAAAATATGTAACTTCAAATTGTAAGTGACGACGAAGATATATATATATATACATTTACAGTTTATAAGTGCAGTAAAGCTTCAAAAAACTCTAAGAAAACACATATATTACTTTATTTGTATTTAAGTGGTCACTTACTGAGTTAAGGCGTAAGCTGTTTTTTTTTATATTAAAACATATACTCACGTGATGGGCTGTTTTGTGATTTACACATATACTCACATAAATTGTGTTGTAATTAACACATATACTCACACGATTGTCTGTGTTGTAATTAACATATATTCTCATATGCTGGGCACATATACACACGATGAAATGTGTTGTAATTAACACATATATTTCACGATAGTCTAGTCTAAAATGTTAGAGTACATATACTCACTGGATAGGCTGTGTTGTAATTACTAAAGCGATGTCATTTTCCAAGGATGTGTAGTTGTAACCAGGATGAAGGACAACACGTTTAACGTGGTAATATTTTTCATGAGGATCTGTTGTTGTGATGTTGTATTCTCCAGCGTATGCCCTCCAGAAATGAAGGTCAAGGTCGTACAGAGAGAATCCATGACTAAAATAAATAGCTTAAGACGTGAACAAAAAGGAAACTCCTTTAATATATTATTATTATCTTATATTTTATAGACATATACATAGTTTTATTTCAGTCATATAAGGCTTACAAGCCCATGATGACATGATAATAGCATAAAACAAGACATGTCGACATTACTAAATATAGATATGGATAACTTTATATTTACATGGACATTTCTGTAGAACCCGATCACTCTTTTTTATTTATTTTTTTTCTGTACTGAGTATATATAAACATAAATAGATTACATGAATATTTTTTCCGTATTTTGATTTCTCAAAGGCTTTCAATACTTTAAAATAAGTTTGTATAGTACATGTTAAGTTTGTTCTTATTATTGTATTTGTTGTTGTTGAATTTTGCTTTCTTGGGAAGTGTTATTTGATCACTTTTGTAGCATATACGTCTAGAATAATTATGTTCTATTTATCCAAAAAGTAAATACACGTACCCTTCAAAATGTTGGGCTGACGTGAGAATCACGTTTGGATGAATGACGGCACCACTTCCGGAAATAAATCCGAGATCGTCAACCAATAAAACCTACACATATAATGGTGAATGAAATAATAAATATATTGTTCATCAGTTGCAACAGGGGAAAGCAATAGGCACTGCTTAATCATTCAAAATGAAAACAAAATTGTTGAATATTTCAACAGTCGTGTTACAGTATAAAGAGGTCCACCGAAACAATAGTGTGACTTTGTTTTTTTGTTTTTTTTTTTTCACCAGAGAAGGTAACTTTAATCAGTTGCAACAGAAAGTGTGCACTTTGTTACTTTGATTTTCCGTAGACCTCTTTGAGCAAAATAGTGGCACTTTTGTTTATCAACATTTGCAGAAATATTTTGACCATACAATGGTTTACTGTTTGAATTGAAATTTGATAATTGACAGAATTATCACTTCCTGTAAATAGCAGAAGGGCGAAAAGTAAAAGTCGCATTATTGTAACTGTTTAATGTTGTTGTTGTTGTTGTTGTTGTTGTCTAATTATGAAGCAGTTAATCAATATAATTATGTTGCATCCATCTCACCAATAGATCAACGGAAATGTTCGAAACCGCATGGAACTGTCGAAACGTCATATGAACCTTGGTTTGAACACTTATTTACACATTTCTAAAACTTTTATTTTTCACTTTTTAGCTTTTTACACGTAATCTAAGTTCTAGTTATAATCAAATTAAAATTAAATGTAAATCGTCCTGAAATCAATATATTTCTGCATATTTTGATACCAAATTTGCTAATTTTTTGCTCAAGGAAGTATAGAATAGTCCGCTGTACAAATGCACACTCTCTTTTGGAACGGGGCGCATGCATATTTAAATCAATACACCTGAAGTTATAATAAAAAGCGAAAGAATAGTGTATACATTTTTCTCCTCAAACAATTTTATGACTTCATTCCTGCCACTAAAGAATTATATCTTAATTTCAGATTTTGTCCACAAAATTTCAAAGTTGTTAAAGAATTAGGTTATTGGAAGATCATTCGATATTTAACATGTTTTTCCTCCAACATATTTCATAGGTATACATCTGTCATTTCGACAAAGTATCGTATTAATTGACATCTTTAAAGAGCTTTAGAAAGAAAAAAGTTCTCCTTTTTTATACATTAGTAAAATATCCAAGGAAAAATGTTTTCCATATCTTATAAATCTATCCAGTTAGCTAACGGAACATCGCTGGTTATTCATGTCTCAAATAATGCACAGAGAGGCACCTGAGGTCTTCCTTCACCAGTAAATCTGGAAAGTCGCCATATGACCTTTACAGACTTGGTGCGATGAAAAAGAAAACAAACAAAAAAGTGACAATATAAGGTCTCACCATCCAGGGCCATGATCCAGGTTTAGCTATTTGACCACCGACAATACGGTTGGTGATTGGCTGCACTGTTGGAGATCCGCATGGTACAGCTATTAATGGGAAAAACGAAAGTTAAGCTTAAGACAATCGCAATAAAGTATTATTAAAGAAACCCATTTTATATAGAAGAATCATTCATCAGAATGCCAGAAATTAATCCTACGGAATGAAAACGTTGTACAAAGAGTTTGATTCTAAAATATTTTAGGTAAGCTTACCTTAAAAAGATAAACCTGCCTTTATTTTTCGTTATAGTAAATGTTAACTTTCATGTTCTCTTCCGCTATAATTTTTAAATAGATTTTTATTTTCTGCAACATGAGAAGCAACTATCCGTTTTTTAACTTTTCATACTTTGTTTTTCTTCAAATCCAAAGACATTATGTACCAACGCAAATCATATACATGTGTTGTTAGTTCCTGACACGCACTTGCACATAGATGATCCAGGTGTATCAACGAATTCAAGACATTTTATGATCTGTGCAATCTAAAATCTGTGCGGTCTTTTACATTATTTTTTTAATTTCAGAATATATTTTTTTTAAAAAAAATTCAATTTTAGTAATTATGAAATATTAATGCTTTGAAGAAAATAAAGAAGATTACTTTGCGACACTGCTGCACCGACACACGCACACAGGAGTAGAGTAGAGAACATTTTGTTCTGAAAAAAATAAATATATATAAATGCTATCAATTTTAGTTCTTTAAAAAAAACGCCACTCAATTTACAAATGATTTAAATGATTGTTAACAAAAATACGTTAATAAAATGATATACCGTTAATAGTGGTTTGTTCTTAATACGAGAAATAAATCGAAAAGTCGAGATTTAAGTTTAAATACACAGTAGTCACTTACTAATCGCCTGACTGAAGTAAAAGACTTTGAGGCCAATGACAGATAACGTCTTATCTACGCAAATAGATTACGAACTAATTGTCCATTTGGTACACGATTTTCTATTTCAGGACGTGTACTTTAGAAACGTTCACATACATTGTGTAACGGGAATAGCATGCAATCGTGTTATTCTATTGTTATGACGTCAGTTCTGTAAATGTACGTAAATTTAAATCTAACAGCCAAATATTTTTAGCAAGTGACGTGAATTAATATTCTCTTGTATCAACGTAAACATCACTTAAATTACAGATATAACGGCTATTAAATGGACATACATACTATAAACTTAAACAATTTAAGATTATATGCTATTTAAGAAAGAAGTTGTGTCTCTTTTGCTCTGCTTTAAGAAAGGATGCGCGTACACTGTCCCTAGCAGTGATATGCTCTGTCAAGACATCTTGCAAGTTCCCACAGAATTGCAGTTAACCGCTGACAACACTGTCGTCCCATTTACAGACCTAAATTATCTTGCATATTTTAGACATTACCAACGGAATGTCACGACTGTAGAACGTTTTACATATACAGCTGTACATAAATACCTTTACACCTCTTGTTAATTTACAAAGATTTATACATTTCTTACATACTTTTTTTACACAAGTTGAGTGTAATTGCCTAAAGACTTTATAAATGCATTATTATTTTAGAAAATTTGTTCACATTTTCATATATTAATGAAAAAAATTAAGAATTCTACGAAACAACAATTTTTCTTCAAATTTATATGTAAGGCCATGTTTAAACATGGAAAAAACGCAATTTTGGGTAATTTCAGATTTTTTCAAACGCGAAACAACGCATTTTCGAAGCCCCCCCCCCCACCCACCTCAAATAGTGAAAAAGTGTCCTTTTTGGGCCCAAAGCACATGTTTTCTTTGAGAAATGTTGATAAAAAAGTGACCACTTTTTCGGCGCAGCTCCCAACCAAAAGATACATCAGGGGGTTGCCAGGAGAGGGATGTGTTCCCGTCTGTTTGGGGGGGGGGTTGAAGGGGGCGGCAGTCCCTCTCATCGTCAAGAAAATTTTGGAGTTGTGAGAGGGTCAAAATGATCCCAGATCAATCATCAGGTAACGTGTAACCAACGCTGAAAAGCATTTGAGTCTATCTCAACCCATTGAGAAGTTGCAATTTTGATGGAAAAATCAACACAAAATAGTGATTTTTGGCAATTTTAAATGTCCCCTCGTTGCCATGGTAACAGGAAATTTAAGCCTGAGCATGTTGTTACAAAGGCATGGTCCAGTCAACATTTGTGCCAAGTGTGATAAGTATTGAAGCAGTTTTTATAGTTTTATAGCAATTTGAACTTGTAACGGGAGATTTTCAATGAAAACAGCCATTTTTCACAAAATGCTCATGAAGTTATGGGTTAACTGAAATCCACAGTATTTTAAGAATTGTTCACATAGTTAACCGTTATCTAATTATAATTGTATGCACCTTTAGCATGAATAAAAGACTGACACAATCAAAAATTTAATATTTCGCAAGATTATAGATATTTTGTTTCAAGATCTTGCAGGATGCCAAGGGTGGGTGTACTGAAAATTTTTGAAGTGGTTCGACTCTGATGACTGAAGTGGCCATCTAAAACTCCCTTCCTTTAGTGATTCTGGTGTCATTACTTGTTGACCTGTTCCAAATGATGCACTTGTGGAGTAGTAATGTACTTCAAATTGTCAGTGCAGACCATGCCATGCAGTCTCCCAGTTACTTTCTGCGGTATACTAGTTGCCCTGTACAACATTACACCAACATATCATCAAACTACCATCATGGTGTGCGCAACTTACTGTTAGTAGCACATAAACTGACAAAGTCTCATGAGACCTTATACAACTTTATAACTGGACAATCATGTTAAAATGATTAAATTTAGTTTTGTTGTCAACAGTAATTATATAACACAGTATCACATTACATAATATTATACATGGTACAAATGCACAGTAGAAGATAAAACATTCAGTGTATTTGTGATGTACAATTCAGTTGCCAGACCTCATCCTCTGAAAAAAAGAAAAAAGAAACAACATATGGAGCGAAAAAGAAAATGAAATTTGAGAAAAACACACACTCTAGCAGGCTGCATGGTCTAAAAATGGACATTTGCGATTATTGAAATAGTTAATTGTGTTGCATAATGTCAGAGGCAAGACATGGACAAGCAAATAAAAATAAAAAAAAAATTTGAATACTAGTCAAATGTCTCGTCCGAGTGAATGATTTTTAACTATTTTTTTCATGTTTTAAAAACACATGATTGTTTGCATATTGTTAATCAAATGCCTTAAAGTAGTAGTAATGTCAATATTTTCAGAACTTGAGAGTTCTTTTTAAGTCTTAATTTTTACTTATTTTTCAAGGATATATTTTGCAATTTCGCACGTTTTAGGGAAGTGAATGAAAATGTGAGCAAAGTGCAAATTAAGATGACACACACACAATGGAGTGAAAAATAGTTATGTATTTAAAGATATAATGTTCCGTGTATAAAATGAGCCAATGTAATTATAAACTGCATTCACGTTACGTGATTTACATAATGTCTACGTTTGATAAGATATAAGTCGCTTTCAAAAGTAGACTGTGAAAAATTTCATTTCACCTTTAATTTTACTTCCTGATCCTATCGATAACATACGAATCCTATTGGACTAGAACACAGCTGTCACACATGTTTTGGATGAGGCCTAAAATGAATACATGACCTAGCATTTGCACAACGTGATGTCCGAAAGTAAATCATCAATGGATCCAATCTTTTTAATTTAGCCTTGTTTTCATTTCCCGTATCAAATGCTTGTTGTAATCCATCTCGACACGTTTTTCCCTATTTCAAAATGTCCATATCAATTGCATATTTTACTCTATCTACCCTCGTTTTCATTACCGGGTTCAAAAGTTTCATATCAAATCCATATCAAATTCATATTGTATTCAAAGTATAAATATAATACAAAAACACTATTTTTATTAGTGTTTTCTTTTAAATTGATGTAATATTGACCTAATATAGGTTTGACAGCTATGTACTCGTCCGACAGAATTCAGTATTGTACGTATTTTAAACACATTGCAAATATACGGTATATACTAAAATGCATCACAATTTATACAGTTAACGCCTTTCATATAAATAACGGAAAGAATCTTTAAGATGTGTCTGTTATCTCAATTTGTAGGGCGTTACACAACTCTCGTACTTTAAAAAGATTTTGAACTGTCTTGTCCCACGAACTCAACGCACCCGCAATAAAAAACGTTATATGTTCACATTTCTGAGCGGCATGGTAAGCAAAACCGGACGGGTGACAAAAGAACATATTAAGGCAATGATAGGAAAGCCTGCCATGAAACCAGTGTGGAAGAAACCCTAACACCCAGGCACTTAATAAGATTAGGCTCCTTAACAGCAACGTATGACTGTTCTTCTGTATGGCGCTTAAACGCCTGGACCAATGCTTTGTTAACACTTGTTTGAGGCAGATCATGCTGGTGAGGAGGCCGTTGAAAATTCCGAACCAGGCACCTTGCGCAAGAACGCAACAACAGCCGACAAAAGATTCATTTATACTAAAGAAATAGAAATAGACAGACACTACTCTGTGTATATTGCAAGACTGGTCCTGGATGAATCAGTCGAAAAGGAAGACCATAACCTGGCGTAGAACATAACATGACTGGCCGTAGAACCTTAGAATCATATGAGGTGAAACTTCTTTTCACATGACTAGTAAATTATGTCACTGGGGGACCATTCCTCAAAAAATGGTCCCAAGTTTTTTTACTTTTAAACACGGTCATAACCTGAGGGTTTTGTTTTGAATCAGATGCCCGTATGCTTAATTTAAAAAAACATGTTTCTTAAAATTTTAAACGTCCCGGGCCCCACAGTAATTCCAATAAAAGAACCCCGGGGAATTCCGCCTCCTTAAAACTCTTAAAATAGGGATTGAAAAATAATAACCTTTTTGTGGAATTTCCAATAACGTCCTGTAGCCCGGCGAAATGAGACCTTTTTAAAGTGGTACATGGGAAAAAATTTTAAAAAGATTTTTATTTTTTATCCTTTTTAAAAAAAGCAGAGGTTGTCGAAAAAAAAGTGTTTAAATTAAAAACTCAGCCAAAAGTTATTTCTCCCCTTTTGTACAACCGGGGATTGGGGAACTGTTTTACTCAAAAGAACGGCCATTTTTGCCGTTTTTTTTATCCCGTGCTCAAGCATAACATTATTCGAGGGAAAAATGAAACAAAATTTAAAAAAAGGTTTTGGGATGTATAAATAATTTTTTTTTTAAAGAATTTTTAATATATGTTTCTTTTCAAAATGTTGTAGAACACAAAAATATTAACATTGGGGAAAACTAAAAGTAGTTTATTAAAATAAATTATAATTAGAAACATTTTTTAAATTTCTGTTTTTGTTTAATTCTTTATTTTATATTAACGGCTTTTTTTTGCAGATCTAGATTCTGATAATATTTGTACTGAAGTTGCAATTATTTTTTGTAAAGCAAGCACTTTATTTGATGAAAACCTTTGCCCTAGAAAGCTTAATATTTTTCAAAAAAAAATTCAACATGTAGGCGAATATGAGTATATTAAGATATGATATAAACTGAGATTATTCACTTAAGTACCGCCTACTGATTTCCATGTTTTATGTTTCTAAGCTGTAAGTATTTAACACTGAGGTCATTGTTTCAATCATATGATAATTATAAGCTTAAATACAAGATGCTATAAACACAGATGTTACATTTCCCGGTGATAAATTGATTTACAGAACTGCGTAACTCGTTATTAAGCTGAACGTTTCAGTTCGTCACTACATCTGACGCCAATGTACTTTACGTGCTTATATTATTATAGCATGTTTTCCAAGAACAATTTACACTCTTTTACTTCTTCGCATTTTGTACATATCGGTTATAGAAATGGTATTCAAAAATGTCATAATATCAAGAAAAGGCGACTATGAACCTCTGCAACTCTAAATGACCTTAAGGATAAAGTTTATTCCAGAACTTATTAGAGCGGTCATTGACTTGTTTTGGGTTTGATGTACCTTTATGATAATACATGTATTTTGGTTATTTTATTTAAAGAAGATGGCCCTTTAAACCGATTTCGACAACTGCACAAAAAAAGTCAAAACGTTTGTGAACTTAATAAAGGCTCCGGTAATATCTGAAAATGCAATGAAATTGAAAAGTTTAGCAAGGGAAGGGTGACCCAAAGTAATACATGTATAAATAAACAAATTTAAAAACCACAAAATTCTTTTAAAGGTTTTAAACATAGTCTTTATCGGATTTAGAAAAGCATCAAATGCAAAATGTTTAAAATTTTAAAATTTAAATACATTGAAAATGGGGATTTTGCCTGTATTAAATACATGTATATATTTTGTATTGCAGTAATATTTTTCTTTTTTCAGCTGGTTTCAACATATTGAATTTTGCGTTTGGGGGCCTTTTTTAAAAAAATCCATTTTTTTATCTATTTTAAAATTGTTACAAATGATTAGATAAACGATGACAAGATAATAAACAACAGCTGATACAAAGGCTTTTATTTACTTACTAATGACAATGATGCTTAGGAAGAGGTGGAGGGGGAAAAGGGAAAGCATCAAGAAACAGTAAGGTTCCTACCATAAAATACCAAGGAAAATTTAATTACTGTAATTGATATAAAACAGACCTGTATTTCAATTGTGTCCGGCAAATGAAAAAACTAGTAAATCCATAGTATATGTATTGATTAAGAAGTTATAGAAAGTAGAAAATGCTGATGTTCAATATAAGCTTTTTTTCCTAAGCTTATTACATATTTTACAGCAACAAGGGTAATTCTCTGAGGTATGAGCAAATTTAGCTTATATTAGGCATTAAATATATTCATCATTTAAAACATACACATTTATGCTTTTATTTTATATAAACAACAAGTGAAATGCACATTATGCCCCAGAAATCCATATTTATTAAATTCTTTAGAAAATGTCGAACATGTGTCTACTTAGTTTTTTACTGTTTCAAACTTTTCTTGACATATTTGCACATCTAACAAAATTTTATAGTGTCTAGAAATACTTACCACAGACAAGCATAATTGTGACAAATCGCTGGTTTAAAATAAATGATTAGCATTATTGGTATTAAAATTGTTATGTATGGAATAAATTTGGTTAAATACAGGTTGTGAGTTATATTTTGTGTATAAATATTAAAATCACTTTAAGAATATATTAACTGATGGCACTGTATTGAATGCATACCATGTTTGCGTATTGGTGCACAGCGCATGCACTTTTTGTTGTGGTATTTTTGTAAATCATTTGTGGTGGGTGTTTGCAGTGTACTCTCCACATAACGGTTGCGAGCCACATTTGATTCACCAGTGTACAATTTAGCCACCACAATGTTCCTGGACAAGCAGTTTCGTTCACTTTCGCAAGGTACTGCTTAATACTTCTGTACGATAAAGTGCGAATGACCGTAGAAAGGATTCCATTATAAATCCCAACGAATGTGACCTGCAATCATTTTATTTCTATTAGCCTTAGATATGTTTCTTTTACATGAAAAGTCATGCGTTTTTGGTATAAGTATGCATATTGAGGAACGTTATTACTGGTAATACAAATTCATGCAACTTAATTATGCGTACAAATCTCATTGTCGGTAAACAACGAACCCGATGCTGGGGTTTAAGCAAAGGTTTGACCAAACTGATTATCTCTATTTCAATAAGTATCATGTTCTTTTGCCCCACAATTTACCCTAATCAATAAAGTTTTAGTGTTTTTCGTAAGTCTTGTTATTGTAGCAAGGTGTTACTGTTCGTAACAAAGTATAACAAAGTACACAAACTATATTTATACGGATTTAGTCAGCATTGAAGTGATTTGATCATATCAGATTGTGGAAGTTAAAATGGTACACGGAATTCGTGTTTACACTATCTTAATTATTTTTATTTTGTCTTTAAGTTACTTGGAAGCAAAAAGGCAAAGAAAGCCAAAAACAGTTGGAAAACGTTTAGACAAGCAAGGAAAATTGTAAGACATCCTTATTTGCTTCATTTTGTTTTATAAAATCTATTTCAAACTGTTACATTGCAATATTCCTTTTGTTTTATCTCTACCTAGTCAAGTATTCTGTAGCACAATACACTTCTTTTGTTAGAATTTGTAATTTTATTTCTATAATTTTCGATTATGAACTTTAACAACAATATTTAATAGGTGTTTGAACTATGTTATCAATAGGAGGACGTCATTGCTGCAATTGTTCAGATATGTATGCATTTAGAATATTATCTCGCTCAATGATTTGAAGTCACAAGAAAATCAAAATTATTGAGCAGATAATATTAACTACCTGCATGGTTTTAAATGTATCGTTGTCTAAACATTGATTACTTTTGTATGCTTAAACAATAATGGTAGGTAGACAGACAGTTCAAGTACGCTGTTGAAATACGGTATAATGTTAAGAATGGCTGTTCGCAGATGGTTATGATATTTTTAAGAATCTATTCTGTTCGTTGCTATATATTTTATGTGCATTCGTCTCAACAGAGCCATCATATGACTGTCAGCTGAACACAGCAATCCCTGACAGTTGCTATGGTGAATGAATAGTTGATAATGGTACAAGGTGCACCGTAAAACAAATAGCTAGTATATTGGTATCTAATTAGGAGCAGATCATGCTATTAGAAAACGTTATTTTAATGGTAGATATTTCATTGAGTCCATATGAAAATTTCAGAATAAATTTGTTCAATAAAGTCTGGCAAAATACCTTGCATTATCAGTTTCGAGAATGTAATGTTTGCAATATTCTTCATAGCTTAAGGTCCACCATTCAGGTGCTGTTTGTTGAGTCAAGTTAGTAAAGGCTGATCTTGCCCGTGTGACATTTTGTGTACCTAAGACTTATAAAAGGCTTTAAGGTAGAAAATTTTATATCGCTCTGCAATAATCCAGTGTTTCATATTATACACAGAATAGACTACGAAACGCGCCAAAGGACTGAAACTTCGTATGCTAAGTGTTTGTGCGAAGTGAATACCTCAAGGGAACTGAGTAAAGTTATCATTGAAATCAATAACAATCAAAAACACATTTTAATATGCTAAATTGCATTCATATTAATTTTTTGAACATTCCTCGTATGTTTATTATTATACTTAACGTAAAAAATATTTTTAAACTAAGCGATTGTTTTTTGAAAAATAGCAAACCCATAATAAATCGATATAAACTTATGTCATTTGTGTATAAAAAATAAATACAAATAAAATAAAAATGATAAATAATTAGAAAAAATAAGTTTTTTTTTGTATTATACAGAAGCTAGTTTTGTTCTATACGCTATATTCTTATAGAAACACTATCGGATCAGGTCATGGAACATACCCGTGTAAAAAAATCTTTCTCACAGTCACAACGGCTTGCCCTTGACGGGATTTGAATCTGCAATTCTAAATGATATATTTCAGACTTGTATTCAATATTTTCCTCTATATTTTGCAAGCAATATTTTACAATATAGATTTCCTCATATGTATTTTTGTATAAATGCTATGTTAGCAAAATGATTTGCACTACAGACATACATGGCCTGTATAAATCTGTTAATTAAAAAAAGAAATACTACAAAAAATACAGCCTCTGTTCCAAAATAAAGTTTCGAACTTGCAAAAAATGATAAATATCAAAAACATAAGCATAAATTATCATAAAAAATATCATGAAGTAATATAATACATAGACTTATTGTGTAAAAATCTATGGAAAAAATGAAAGAAATCATGCAAAAGATTAAATGAAATGCCCAGTCTGCTAAATAATATTTAACTTGATTAGAAGATGTTACCTTGAAATGAATATTTTCCCAAAATATCGACTATAGAATTGTTTGGACCTAATCACGATTGATCAGCTTATCAAATCACATTAGTTCAACCCTTCATTGTATTTTAGACGCGTATTCCAACAATTACAGTTAATATTGCTATCGTTTTATATTCTGAATAATCAATATTACAGATAAATGATTTTATAAAAGTTATAGAAATACCCGTATCAACCTAATATAGATTATTAAAATATATTAAAACATATTTGAAACGTCACGACTTTTTTCAGGAAATGCAACTCGAAGCAAGTCTGTGTGGACAAGAACGAACTTTGTGTACCCTATGACATGTCACCAAAGTGTAAATGCAAGAAACTCAAAGGTCAGTTGATCAACATCGGTTACTCTCCGAAAAGTTCAGTGTTTTTGGCTTTAGATTGTTTTTGTCGTTTTTTTTGTCATTGTTCTCATGCTATGTCCTTTTACGATTCCATGCTGCCGACGTATTACTGTCATGTTTTCAGCTTTCAGTTTTTATGCTGTCGCCTTAATTTTTGTCATGCTTTTGGCTTTATGTTTCCGTGCTGTCGTCATATTTGTATCATGCTTTTGGCTTTATGTTTCCATGCTGTCGTTTTATTTTTGTCTTGCTTTTGGCTTTATGTTTCCATGCTGTCGTTTTATTTTTGTCTTGCTTTTGGCTTTATGTTTCCATGCTGTCGTTTTATTTTTGTCTTGCTTTTGGCTTTATTTTTCCATGCTGTCGTCATATTTGTGTCTTGCTTTTGGCTTTATGTTTCCATGCTGTCGTCATATTTTAGTCTTGCTTTTGGCTTTTATGATTCCATGCTGTCGTCATATTTGTGTCTTGCTTTTAGCTTTATGTTTCCATGCTGTCGTTTTATTTTTGTCTTGCTTTTGGCTTTATGTTTCCATGCTGTCGTTTTTTTTGTCTTGCTTTTGGCTTTATGTTTCCATGCTGTCGTCATATTTGTGTCTTGCTTTTGGCTTTATGTTTCCATGCTGTCGTCATCTTGTGTCTTGCTTTTGGCTTTATGTTTAAATGCTGTCGTTTTTTTGTGTCTTGCTTTTTGGCTTTATGTTTCCATGCTGTCGTCATATGTGTGCCTTGCTTTTGGCTTTATGTTTAAATGCTGTCGTTTTATTTTTGTCTTGCTTTTGGCTTTATGTTTCCATGCTGTCGTCATATTTTGTCTGGCTTTTGGCTTTATGTTACAATGCTGTCGTCATATTTGTGTCTCGCTTTTGGCTTTATGTTTAAATGCTGTCGTTTTATTTGTGTCATGCTATCCCCTTTATGTTTCCATGCTATCAACAATTACAAATAAATATTTTTGACAAAAGTTTCTGTATTACTGGTTTGTTTTAAATTGTGAAGATCCCGTTTATATAACTGTATAACTGATGAAATGGATAAGAACCCCTTTCTTACAAAATTATGCTTTACACGAAGAAAGAAACAATTGAATCATTTTTTTGCTCATTTATGTGCATTTTAGTTCTAAAGATAATGACTCTCATATCGCATTGCAATTTGTGAATGTTCTGTTTGACAAAACCCAATAAACCAAAAAGATGTTATAAGTTCGTATTTCACTTCATGATTATCTTGTTAGTAACTTACTTTTATTAGTAAGTTTATTAAAAAAGTAATAAAAGAGTTCACTGTTACTTTATCTTCAGTGAAAGGATGCGAGGACATGCTCGGCAGATCGTAAGTATAGCAGAAACATATATATTGGGTCTTACTTTTTTGTTCTGACAGGTTTTTGTTCAAATGATTTATTTTACATTATATTATAATTCTAAATTAATTTATTATTCTTACTTGAAATGTTTTATTTTATTAAACTTATTTCTGTGTATGTGACATTATGCTACTGTTATTGAATGTATTCGAATTGATAAAACTAATTATATCAATATATGGAATTTAAAACTCATATTTGATTTCAGCGTGTGCAAATACGGTGAAGTTTGTCTCGACAAAAAGACTGGGAATTCTTGTAATAATAGACAATCCAAAGGGTGCAAATGTACCGTGCCAAAGGAGACCGCGCCTGAAAATACACCAGCTAAAGGTAACAGATATCATACCTACTCTTTGTTTATTGTCAAAGATGAAATGTTTTATAAAATTTATAACATTGTAGATTTGCATATCCTTGCTTTCTGTTTTTGTTTGTTTTCTCGTTTTCTTGTTTAGGTATGAACTATTAAAGGTACATTAGTCCAAGAAGCGATATTTCCCGTAGAAAGTGCAAACAATTGCTTTATAACTTGTTATAACATATTATGAAAATGTATTTTGCTTTGTTAAAGGATATAGCGCACGAAACTAATTTTGATTAAGTTAGTCAAATGTGGAATACTTGTCTTTTATGCAAAATATTAAATCGCTAATACCAAAGCCAAAACGCAAACAGCAAAATATGACTAAACTTTATTGCTGTAACTTAAAAAGGACTGCATAAATAAGCATATTTGAGGATCATTGTTCCTTGCACATAAACAAAAAATCAAAAGACGTTTCATAACATTTTTCAGTGATTATTATGATTAATATATTTAGTTTTAGCCTAATAAATGTAAAGGAGCTATGGCCAAATGAAGTTATATGTATGTCTGCCTGTCCTAATATTGTGTTCTTTTATCTGTTCTTTACGCCATATCTCGGCAGCCAGTCCATCTTAAAGGCTTTTCTAGATATCTATGCAGCAATTGCCATTTTTTTCACAAGTAACCAACAGAATATATATACATGGACTGGTGTTGTACAATGGATGTCATTTATTTTGCTGTAATAGTAATGTGGGTTTCAAGACATACGGACACTTCTAACATCATGTCATTCATTTGAGATGACATAATTTCTTATGTGTTTTAAATATTGGTGTTTGACATGGACTCATTGATCTTATTCTTCTAATGCATTGCTTTCATAGCTTGATTTCGATCTATTCATATTCATAGGTATAGGTTGTTATGTTGCCGTTAATTTGATCAAGATATTCATACCGTTAGACCACAAATTCCACACTATAAACCAGATGCCGTGTAAAGAGTGTATGTGCATGCCGAGATACCCATACTATGTAAGATTCTCATACTTCGTTACATTTAATTAATACATTATCGTATTGGTCTTTAGAATAGTGCAGCTTTTATGACTTTAGATTGTTTTTCTCGTTCCTATATTGCCATGATACCGATATTATGTTGCCATGATACCGACATTATGTTGCCATGATACCGACATTATGTTGCCATGATACCGACATTACGTTGCCATGATACCGACATTATGTTGCCATGATACCGACATTACGTTGCCATGATACCGACGTTATGTTGCCATGATACCGACATTACATTGATATAATACCGACATTACGTTGCCATGATACCGACATAATGTTACCAGGATACCGACACTATGTTGCCATGATACCGACATTTTGTTGCTATGATACTTACTTTACGTTGCCATGATCCCGTCATTACGTTGACATGATACCGACTTTATGTTGCTAGGATACCGACATTATGTTGCCATGATACCGACATTATGTTGCCATGATACCGACATTATGTTGCCATGATACAAACATATTGTTGCCATGATACCGAAATTATGTTTCCATAATACGGCATTATGTTGCCATGTAGTGTTACGTTTCCATTTAAGTTTCTTATACTTAATAACATTTAATTATTACATCACCGTATTTGTTCTCAAGAACATTATCTTTTTAAATACTGCTTGGATATTTCCATTGCATATCTTGTTTATTCTCCCCGTTGTTTCAGATATTTTTACTCTCTATTTCAGGTTGATTTTTGCCGCGTCAAACCAAATTGTAACGGTGCAATTCACCTGTTTGTCAAAGTTCCTTAGAGCGAAAATCCTGGAGCAATCATCAGACAAGAGAGGAATTTATGTTTTCTTAAAAATGACGATTTCTATGTCTCAATGTTTATCATTTACATACATATCATTTCGCTAACATAATATCAAAAAATGTAACTTGTCTTAAGTTTTGAAATTTCATAAGCTTATTTCAAAAACTGTGCCCTTTTCTTAAATTTCTGATTTTATACAGCACATAGTTTTTTCGGAAAGTTCTGTTTCCCTTGTATTACAAGGCACCCGGAAACAAAACATGTTAAAATTAATTTTGTGTGGCTCATTACAAATACAATTTCAACGTTCACAATTTTTATATAATAAAGAATTGTCTTGATTGTTTTCGAGTGAATGTTTTTCCTTAGATCACCTTTGAATTATACAACTGCTGTTTTCAGATGTGTTTAAAATCTTATGTGTTTTATGTGTATTATCTTTTCCATTTATTCAAAAAAACATTACAAAAAAACATTAATGTTGATTTTTAAGTTATTTGCCAAATCAATCTGTAATTTTACATGACTGTTGAAGTAGATGAAGCTCTATCCACCCAGCTAGGTTATTGGATATATGTATCTGGATATATCATCATATAACATATCTATCTAAACTACACCGTCATAAATTCATGGACAAGTATCCAACGGTCATAGCAACGTTAAAACATAATATGTCGTAAATAAAACAAAATTTGAGAGATAGTTTACTCAATTAAGGGAAAACTTGTGGTGTACACGTTTTATGGTATTTTGCTAAAAGTCGCATACTCATTATCTTTAAAATAAGCTAAGCTAGCGGAACATCTGACTGTAAAATTCATGAAGTTATATGTCAGGGGCTTTACATTCTTTCATGTGATAAAGCTATCCAACAACCTAACGAATTGACTGGGGTCCTAAACATGTGCCTAAAATAGAGTTAAAAGTTTATAAATTCAAATTTATTTAAAACTTGTAAATATTAACAGATTACTGGTCAGCTGTGCAACATCTCCTAGTCCTTATCATTTATTTTTCGCACATATTGAACAACAGTATCTAACATTATCAATGAGGACAAGATGCCTTGCTATAACTACCTCAACAGGTAACAAAATCAAACACGAAGTAATTGAATCTTGCAGTTTTTGTTGAAAAGTGACCATATTAACTCCTTCTCTCTTGTTATGTTTATTCCGTGAATAAATTGCAATAAATTTTGCATAAAATATGAACAATAAATGATATTAAACGTAAATTTCTTGTATGTTGTTTATACTTTTCTCCGAGTACTATTTATAAGATATGATTAAAGGTAGTTGGCGTCCATAAATACATATAAATACTGAGGAAATAAAACAAACGAAAAAAAATATCTATTTGAATTAACATATTACATGATTATTCATAAATTTGCTTTGTTATATACAATAAATACATGGACCTGAAGATGCAAGCTTGATTAATTTTAGAACAATATCCTGCTATTCATGGTTGCTATCCAGTTGACAAATGTCTTTCCAATTAGCAATCGTCTGTAATTTAAGTACTCCGTCACCCAGATTTGTCCCAATCATGGCGAAGTGTAGGGTGATTGTTGGCTCCTGAAATGTAAAACAAAGCACAGCAGAAAAAGGGTTGCGGGAGGGTGGGAAATTAAAAACCTAATTTGTTAAGATTTTTACCTTTACTTACAGAGTTCCAGAACGAAAAGGACGCAGCGGGCTAACGAAGCTCCTTATATAGCGTTCTAAATATAGTTCTCAGACTGAGCATGCGTATTGATGCGCTGTTCTACTGTTCAATAAATCAAGAAATATGTCATTCATATAAAATAAAAGTGTTCAATCTTATTGATTAAACATTGATATTAATTCAATATTTACCAATTTGCTTAATTTTTGTATTCTTCTGAAGCCGGAGCTAGGTGTGTGGATGGTAACTTGCACTTGTTAGTACTATGAACAGGCTCAATCAATCCGAGCCTGCAACATTTACAATTTTGTCATTTTGGGCGTTGTTTCAGAATTCATTTATTCCTCTATTTTGGTAGTGATAGAGGTATTCCTATTGCACAAGTATCCATAACTCGAGACAAAACATTTTAAAGTTACATCGGTTTGCCTTTTGAAAACAGAACTCAACTTCAGTGCCTTGTGCTTTAAAATCAACACTCTAAACACTATAATGACTTTTCATTAAATAATATTGAACATGTAACATAAATGTTTAATAACAGAACAACTAATATTTTTGAGGCAATGTCTCTCCGTGTAAATAATTTAGATGATATTATTTTCAATTAAACATCAAAGAGTTAATAGCTAGAATTGTATGTGTAATACTAACTTGAACCCGTTGGTGATAGCTATCATGGCGTTAACGTTGTGTGTCGGACTTGCTCAAACAAAAACAAATCTATGTATGATTTATATCATAGCGAAAATTCCATTTCTATTTACATGTTTCTTTTAAAAAGATGCATTCCGTATAAAACAAACTCCATATTTATGGAGCAAAATTTGTTGTATATGTAATGGAATAGAAGTGACAATACATAGGCCATTGTATATTCTGTTTACAGTAACTTCACTTGCTTTCTAGTGGCAATTTTTGAAGCTTTGTAGCGTTTCAGTACCAGTCTTACACAATATCCATTATTATGTATAACAGTATAAGCAAATATAATGATGGAAAACAGTCATTTTTCGTACATTTTCTTACTTACATAAAGTTCCTATCTGTCCATATATTATTATTGTAAAACGAAACCAAAAACAATATTAAAAGGAAAGGTAAAAAAGAACGAAAACCGCAACAACAACAAAAAAAGATTAAAAATAAATAAACAGTGCACGAACTATGGAATGCCGGTAGGGACATGCCACTTTGCTTATTTGCCAACTACTTAATTGCTTATTTGCTAATTGCTGATTTGCCAATTTGCTTATTTGCCAATATGCTTATTTGCCAATTTGCTTATTTGCTAATTGCTTATTTGCTTACACATGCATACATAATTTTTTATGCTATTGTCAGGCGAAACGTGCGACTCGCTAAGTTCTTGTTTGATATAAAATAACAAGTCTTTTGTAGACTTTATTTCAGCTCATGAACCTATATATCATGTTAATATTATGTTTATAAGGTTTTGTTAATTATAACTTGTGACAATTATGATCAATCCATCATTACCTAGAATATAGGTAGAAAAGACAGGGATACATTTTAATCAATTTCGAAAAAAAGAAAATTCAGTTTCAGAAAGTAGTTGTTTTTTTTAATTATCTTGAGTTTCCGTTTTAGCTCCACTATTCAGAGAATAGGGATGCTATTCTTAGTAACTTGTTTTTTCTGTCATATCTCTGTTACTTTTGCTGATTCGTGCATCTTACTGCAACTTTGCATAAACTTTGAGTTACAAGCATGCATACAAAGTACATGTACATGAAGAAGCTGTGCCCGTTATATACTGAATGTCAAGGTCACCAATGTATTGTACTGAGAAACCTTTGTTTTTCTGTCATATCTCTGTTACTATTGCGTAATATCTAACTGTTACTTCACATAAGCGTTAAATAGGCAGCATGCATATACACAATATTCAAGAGGCTTTGTCCATTATACCCTAATCATGGTCATGGTCACCTGATAGCATGTAAAATGTACAATATGAAAAAATGGAAAAGTGTGACCAAATTTCAAAACCATTGACCAAAGCAAAATGTTGATGCAACACACTGACATAAGTGATCTCAAAATCTTACAGAGCTAAAAACAAAGCCTATTGCTTAAGTGCAAAGACAAACACCCGTGTTAAGCATGCACCAAATGAATCATTCGTGATACTATGTGTTCGTACCACTAAAATGAGGCCCTCTGTGACAAATCTGCTGAGAATAACGACATTTTATATGCCATAAAATAATAAATAGTTTTGTTTTCAAGTTCTTTTATTTTCAATCTTTAACCAATATTTTTCACTTATATATGACTAATCAAGTGTTTATTATGCCACCAATCTCTGACTTAAGCTGCACAAACAGATCTATAGCTGCAACACATTATGAGGCATTCTCAAGCACAGATGCTGGCGGGTCAGATCCTGCCCCTAACGTGATACGCGTCTGTAAACACTATATCAAAACTATTTTAACATTTATTTAAATAACAATTGGTAATTCGTTACAACGATAAAACCATTAAGTACTTTATTGAGACTTGGTGGTATATGGTATTTTTTCATACCGGTATATGTAAAAATTGTTTGAAAATCAGTTTTAACGATGTCCAATTCGCGTTTAAATATTAAAATATTTTTAATAGAGTGTTTACAGGGGCACGTATCACGTTGGGGTACGGGATCTGACCCCAAGCGTCTGTGTTCTCAAGGACATGTCAGCCATCAGTTGTAGACATATATCTGCGTAGGCATCACTGCAATTAAATTCATTGACCAACAGTATTCTTGGAAAAACACTAAATTTACAAGAATACTGTTGGTGAAAGTTAACAGATCTGACTCAACTGGTTGTCTGTAGTCAGATGTTCCATATACTTCCGGCACAGTGTAAACTTTTTCTATTGCAAGAAAGCAAATTAGCAATAGGCAAATAAGCAAATACGTAAACCAGCGGTTAACAAATAAGCAAATTAGCATTTCAGCAATTGGCAAATAAGCAAATTTGTCATTAAGCCTATCAGCCATTGGCAAATAAGCAAATCGGCAATTAGCAAATGAGCAATTCAGCAATTGGCAAATAAGCAAATTGGCATGTCCCTACCGGCATTCCATAAACGAACTGATAAAACAATTTTTTTACGAAAAAGACTTGCACACTTATATGCCAAACATCACTCATTTAAACCAAAATATCTATACAGTTTAAATGAATACACTCAAGGACCATCCCCAACAAAAATTGTGTTTCATTTCATATTTGAGTAATTTTGGAGAGACACAAACAACTATGCGTAAAGTGATAATAACTGTCATTCCTAATTTACTTTTTCTATGATTTTTCTTTAAATTTTCTTTGTCGAGGTCTATATGAAATATATATACCAAGAGACTACTGTTCAAGAAATACAACCCAAGTTCATTGCATCTTGTTTCGGTATGTGACATAGTTACAGGGCATGTCCTTTCTTTATCGGCATGGTATTTTCATAATTCTTTTATCCGAACTAGATAAATTCTCCTTACATGAAACAATCATTGATTGAAGTATTTAGTATGAATTCAGTGGAATGTTAATACTGGTAATACAGATTTATGCAACTTAATTGTGCATACAAATCTCTTTGTCGTTAAACAACGAACCGGATGCTGGGTTTTTTGCAAAGATTTGTAAGTAAGTAAGTAAGTAAGTAAGTAAGTAAGTAAGTAACGACTTTATTTTATGAGGCTAACACATTCAGTTTCCCGATCTTCCATGCGGGCCTCAAACTGATTATCTGTAATGCAATAAGTATTTTGTTTTTGTCTAAAAACAACTATCTTGGCATTAATCAATAAAGATTTTGTTTTTCCCCCGTCATTTTTGTTAGTGTAGCCAGGTGTTGCTGATCATAACATAACAAAATATTCAGACAGGTATTAATACGGATTTATTCAACATTGAATACCAGATTGCTTAAGTTAAAATGGTACACAGAATTCGTGTTTGCAGCATCTTAATTATTTTATTTTTGGCTTTAAATTATTTGGAAGCAAAAAGGGAAAGAAAGCCAAAAACAGTTGGAAAATGTTTAGATAAACAAGGAAAATTGTAAGACATTTTAATTTGCTTTATTTTGTTATACAATTTATTTTAAAGAATTTCACAGTATTCTCTTTATATTAAACTGTTCCTGTATTTAGCAATAAATAGTATTTTTTTTGTTTTGTTTTGTTTCAGAAGAGTTAATGACTTTAAAAAATTATATTTAAGCATTTGATATTGAAAAAAGTGTTTTAACTACATGTATTTTATCAATAAGATCGACGAAGAAGTTAATTAATTGTAATGAAAATAACGCGATTGTTCAAAAATATAATATTATGCGTCGAGAAAAATTGCCGCTAAATAATCAAGTAAATTAATATTATTGAGTAGATACACTGTAAGCTTCACTTTGCTAATCGCACCAATCATTTAAAATAGTTGTTCGTTGGTTAAAGAGATTCAATTCAAATATGCGTTCATCTCAATAGACTATCTATAACTGATGATTC